ACGCGCCGTAATAATTGAGAAAATGAATTTTTTCGTTTATTTTTGCGATTTCCATCTCCCCTACGGGTTGGCACAGATATTTTTCTGTGTGTACGTATTGGTTATGAGGTGTTGAATGATCTCTCGAATAGTTCAAGATGACACGCGCCGTTATAATTGAGAAAATGATTTTTTTCGATTATTTTTGCGATTTCCATCTCCCCTACGGGTTGGCACAGATATTTTTCTGTGTGTACGTATCGGTGATGAGGTGTTTAATGATCCTTCGAATAGTTGAAGATGACACGCGCCGTAATAATTGAGAAAATGAATTTTTTCGATTATTTTTGCGATTTCCATTTCCCCTACGGATTGGCACAGATATTTTTCTGTGTGTACGTATTGGTTATGAGGTGTTTAATGATCCTTCAAATAGTTGAAGATGACACGCGCCGTAATAATTGAGAAAATGATTTTTTTCTATTAATTTTGCGATTTCCATCTCCCCTACGGGTTGGCACAGATATTTTTCTATGTGTACGTATCGGTGATGAGGTGTTGAATGATCTCTCGAATAGTTCAAGATGACACGCGCCGTTATAATTGAGAAAATTATTTTTTTCGATTATTTTTGCGATTTCCATCTCCCCTACGGGTTGGCACAGATATTTTTCTGTGTGTACGTATCGGTGATGAGGTGTTTAATGATCCTTCGAATAGTTGAAGATGACACGCGCCGTAATAATTGAGAAAATGAATTTTTTCGATTATTTTTGCGATTTCCATTTCCCCTACGGATTGGCACAGAAATTTTTCTGTGTGTACGTATTGGTTATGAGGTGTTTAATGATCCTTAAAATAGTTGAAGATGACACGCGCCGTAATAATTGAGAAAATGATTTTTTTCTATTATTTTTGCGATTTCCATCTCCCCTACGGGTTGGCACAGATATTTTTCTATGTGTACGTATCGGTGATGAGGTGTTGAATCATCTCTCGAATAGTTGAAGATGACACGCGCCGTAATAATCGAGGAAATGATTTTTTTCGATTATTTTTGCGATTTCTATCTCCCCTACGGGTTGGCACAGATATTTTTCTGTGTGTACGTATTGGTTATGAGGTGTTTAATGATCCTTCAGATAGTTGAAGATGACACGCGCCGTAATAATCGAGGAAATGATTTTTTTCGATTATTTTTGCGATTTCTATCTCCCCTACGAGTAGGCACAGATATTTTTCTGTGTGTACGTATTGGTTATGAGGTGTTTAATGATCCTTCAAATAGTTGAAGATGACACGCGCCGTAATAATCGAGGAAATGATTTTTTTCGATTATTTTTGCGATTTCTATCTCCCCTACGAGTAGGCACAGATATTTTTCTGTGTGTACGTATTGGTTATGAGGTGTTTAATGATCCTTCAAATAGTTGAAGATGACACGCGCCGTAATAATCGAGGAAATGATTTTTTTCGATTATTTTTGCGATTTCTATCTCCCCTACGAGTAGGCACAGATATTTTTCTGTGTGTACGTATTGGTTATGAGGTGTTTAATGATCCTTCAAATAGTTGAAGATGACACGCGCCGTAATAATTGAGAAAATGATTTTTTTCTATTATTTTTGCGATTTCCATCTCCCCTACGGGTTGGCACAGATATTTTTCTGTGTGTACGTATTGGTTATGAGGTGTTTAATGATCCTTCAAATAGTTGAAGATGACACGCGCCGTAATAATCGAGGAAATGATTTTTTTCGATTATTTTTGCGATTTCTATCTCCCCTACGAGTAGGCACAGATATTTTTCTGTGTGTACGTATTGGTTATGAGGTGTTTAATGATCCTTCAAATAGTTGAAGATGACACGCGCCGTAATGATTGAGAAAATGATTTTTTTCTATTAATTTTGCGATTTCCATCTCCCCTACGGGTTGGCACAGATATTTTTCTATGTGTACGTATCGGTGATGAGGTGTTGAATGATCTCTCGAAAAGTTCAAGATGACACGCGTCGTTATAATTGAGAAAATGATTTTTTTCTATTAATTTTGCGATTTCCATCTCCCCTACGGGTTGGCACAGATATTTTTCTATGTGTACGTATCGGTGATGAGGTGTTGAATGATCTCTCGAAAAGTTCAAGATGACACGCGTCGTTATAATTGAGAAAATGATTTTTTTCGATTATTTTTGCGATTTCCATTTCCCCTACGGGTTGGCACAGATATTTTTCTATGTGTACGTATCGGTGATGAGGTGTTGAATCATCTCTCGAATAGTTGAAGATGACACGCGCCGTAATAATCGAGGAAATGATTTTTTTCGATTATTTTTGCGATTTCCATCTCCCCTACGGGTTGGCACAGATATTTTTCTGTGTGTACGTATTGGTTATGAGGTGTTTAATGATCCTTCAGATAGTTGAAGATGACACGCGCCGTAATAATCGAGGAAATGATTTTTTCGATTATTTTTGCGATTTCTATCTCCCCTACGAGTAGGCACAGATATTTTTCTGTGTGTACGTATTGGTTATGAGGTGTTTAATGATCCTTCAAATAGTTGAAGATGACACGCGCCTTAATAATCGAGGAAATGATTTTTTTCGATTATTTTTGCGATTTCTATCTCCCCTACGAGTAGGCACAGATATTTTTCTGTGTGTACGTATTGGTTATGAGGTGTTTAATGATCCTTCAAATAGTTGAAGATGACACGCGCCGTAATAATCGAGGAAATGATTTTTTTCGATTATTTTTGCGATTTCTATCTCCCCTACGAGTAGGCACAGATATTTTTCTGTGTGTACGTATTGGTTATGAGGTGTTTAATGATCCTTCAAATAGTTGAAGATGACACGCGCCGTAATAATCGAGGAAATGATTTTTTTCGATTATTTTTGCGATTTCCATCTCCCCTACGGGTTGGCACAGATATTTTTCTGTGTGTACGTATCGGTGATGAGGTGTTGAATGATCCTTCGAATAGTTCAAGATGACACGCGCCGTCATAATTGAGAAAATGCAATTTTTCGATTATTTTTGCGATTTCCATCTCCCCTACGGGTTGGCACAGATATTTTTCTGTATGTACGTATTGGTTATGAGGTGTTTAATGATCCTTCAAATAGTTGAAGATGACACGCGCCGTAATAATTGAGTAAATGAATTTTTTCGATTATTTTTGCAATTTCTATCTCCCCTACGAGTAGGCACAGATTTTTTTCTGTGTATACGTATTGGTTATGAGGTGTTTAATGATCCTTCAAATAGTTCAAGATGACACGCGCCGTCATAATTGAGAAAATGCATTTTTTCGATTATTTTTGCGATTTCCATCTCCCCTACGGGTTGGCACAAATATTTTTCTGTGTGTACGTATTGGTTATAAAGTGTTCAATGATCCTTCGAATAGTTCAAGATGACACGCGCCGTCATAATTGAGAAAATGCATTTTTTCGATTATTTTTGCGATTTCCATCTCCCCTACGGGTTGGCACAGATATTTTTCTGTGTGTACGTATTGGTTATGAGGTGTTTAATGATCCTTCAATTAGTAAAAGATTACACGCGCCGTATTAATTGAGAAAATTATTTTTTTCGATTATTTTTTCGATTTCCATATCCCCTACGGGTTGGCACAGATATTTTTCTGTGTGTACGTATTAGTTATGAGGTGTTTAATGATTTTTCAAATAGTTGAAGATGACACGCGCCGTAATAATCGAGGAAATGAATTGTTTCTATTATTTTTGCGATTTCCATCTCCCCTACGGGTTGGCACAGATATTTTTCTGTGTGTACGTATTGGTTATGAGGTGTTTAATGATCCTTCAAAGAGTTGAGGATGACACGCGCCGTAATAATTGAGAAAATGATTTTTTTGTATTATTTTTGCGATTTCCATCTCCCCTACGGGTTGGCACAGATATTTTTCTGTGTGTACGTCTGGGTGATGAGGTGTTGAATGATCTCTCGAATAGTTCAAAATGACACGCGCCGTAATAATTTAGTAAATGAATTTTTTCGATTTTCTCCACCCCTACGTCTTGGCACAGACATTTTTCGGTGTGTATGTATTGGTAATGATATGTTCAATGACCTGTCAAATAGTTCAAGATAACACGCGCCATTATAATTGAGAAAATATTATTTTTTTATATTTTTGAGATTTCCATCTCTTCTACGGGTTGGCACAGATATTTTTCTCTGTGTATGTATTGATAAGCATATTATGCTCAATGACCTGTGAGATAGTTCAAGATGACACACTCCGTAATAATTGAGAAAATGTATTTTCTCAAATATTTTTGTGATTTCCATATCTCCCCTACCGGTTGGCACAGATATTCTTCTGTGTGTACATATTGGTAATGAGGTGTTCAATGATTCTTCAAATAGTTCAAGATACACGCGCTGTAAAATTTTTTTTTCAAATATTTTTGAGATTTTCATCTGCCCTAGTTGGCACAGATATTCTAGTGTGTGTATGTATTGGTAATTAGGTGTTTAATGATCTCCCAAATAGTTCAAGATGACAGGCACTGTAATAATTGAGAAAATGATTTTGTTGAATATTTTTGATATTTTGATCTCCCCTATGGGTTGACACAGATATTTTTCTCTGTGTGCTTGTTGGTGAAAAGATGTTTAATGATCTTTGGAATAGTTCAAGATGACAGGCGTTGTAATAATTGAGAAAATAAATTTGTTGGAATATTTTTGTGATTTCCATTTCCCCTACAGATTGGCACAGATATTTTTCAGTGTTTATACCCATATTGGTAATCATTGATGTGTAAATGATTATTATATATCATTCGAATTCACTCAATTTTGTTGCCAAATTCTGATATAAAGAAATGAAATATCTAATGATATTTGTTAAACTTTGGCAACACCGCATGTGACCCACAGTGTATTCCAAATACAACTTTCTTCACGTCATAAAGTGTGGATGGAAATGTGTGGATAACTTCACTTTAATCATTGTCATTCATTCTTTCCTTATTTTTGTAGGTATTTAGATTTTACTGGTGGGATGCATATGAAGACCCTGAGAAACAAAAAGGGGTGGTATTCCTTTTTGGGAAAACATACTGTGAAAGTGCTAAAACTTATTTGAGTTGTTGTGTACCTGTCAGAAATATCAGTAGAAGATTATTCCTCCTACCAAGATCAGTTGTAAGTATAACTTTCAAGGCATTTCAAAAACTTGATTGTAACAAATTTTAGATAGAAAGTCTACATTACATTTCCATAAATAGGTATGAGTTCAGTAGGTTTCTGAATAATCAGGACCTGTTGATTTAATTTTATTCAGAACCATCTATTTTTTATGGAATAATAGTTCTCCAATTTTCCTAGATTTGGTTTTATATTTTGTTTCATGAATTGTTGTAGTATCTACATTTTTTGCAAAAATTCATTTTATTCAGGAACTAGGTGAAGATGGGCAACCAACTGATGAGCCTGTTACTTTTAAAAAAATGTACAGTGAATTGAATGAGAAAATCATCAAGCCCTTGCATATTAGTAGTTTCAAGACAAGATATGTCAACAAAAAGTACTGTTTCAATCCAGAGATACCTGCTGAATCAGATTACATGGAGCTGAGATACCCAGTAAGTATCATTTCATTCATTTTCCAATCATATATATAGAAGATTCTCTGAACATTACAAATATATGTTTCCACCTGTTTTCCTGACTGTCTAATTTTCCAGTTTCCTGAAGCCCTGTCCCTTTTGTAACATCTAAACATTTAAGAAAAATGTAACTGATGAGTATGATGTATGTTTTATTCATTTAGAGCATGCTTGAATATTTCATACTAGCTTCTACCCAGATCATCTTATTCCAATAGAACTGAATCAATTGGATTCAGTATTCAAAAACTACTACAAACAATCGATGAAGTTTCAAAAACTGAAAACATGCATTATTGAGATTATTTGATACAACAAAAGTTGCAATGTATTTCAATACATACTACAACAAAAATAAGTTATTTGTTGCACTCTGTCTGTAGATGGACCAATTCAGCTAGTATCATGAATTTTGGTTGCTTAGATGGCCCCTGAATAGCAATAAATGTGAAGGGTATCTCCCATGCAGTAATAACTTTGCTTTTTGTAGTGGCCACCTGATGTTTGGTTAGATATTTGTCATTTTCATTTCATCTAAATAATCAGAGACTTACCAGTCACAAAAAACGTATTCCAATGATTAATATCTAAGGTACCTAGGATAGAGTTTCATGTCTAATTGTTGGATATTTTATGTCCAACAATCATGTCTGCCAAAATACATTTTTCTACCCACAGTAAAAATATTTATTTTTTCTTTCACTAAATATATCTATGTCCTCTCTAGTACATCTAAGAATATGTATACAAAATTGCATGATCAGTCCAGTAGTTTTGGCGTTAAATCCTGACAAACAAACTGACATTTACATTTATAATATTAGTAGGAATAAATATGGTTATCCCTGTGTATTTTTTTCAATAACATATACTCTGAATTAAGTGGTTCTCAGCTTTAGGATAATCAGAAGAATTCAGGGAAAAATATACATGAGACATAAATGTTATGACTTCAATTATTTCAAAACTTTGGTTTTGTTTCTGATGATGTTGTATCCAATGTTATAAGAAACTGATATTTGAAATTCTCTAAATTTGAATCTAATCCAAATGTTTATCATTCATTCTAGATGTTATAACTCAATTTCAGAGATTTAGACATTAAATTTCTGCCACTTCCATAGTGGAAATATAATACACTTCCACTTTTTGGTTTAACAATGTTTGAGATTCTAAGATTTTCTCTGAAATCTTCATGAACAAAAGTAATGGTGAATTCATCCACCACTGAACTCATTATTAATTCGAAAAATCAGAGTAGGTGATTGGTAAATTCAGAATTTATATTCGAAATTGATCATTTATCACCCATTATTTCAAAGTTAGGATTGAGTTATGCCATGTATAATAACTTCACCATACATTTTTTAAACTTTTAGGCTAAATAATGTATTTTTACGGAATTTTGGGTCTATTCTAATTGAGAGGTTTTGAGTTCAATGATGGAGATGCAAGCGTTTAGATAAAATTGTCAACATTTAGCCGGTTTTGGCATCCGCTAAACAAATCATATAAATCAAATAATATGTGCTAATGTAGAAAATTGGATGCTCTTTCTGTTGAAAACGGTTATGAAATGTGGATTTTATAGGAGAGCTAGAAGGTCTTGAGTCTTGATATTGCTGCCGATCCACCAATAAATCTCCGAAAAGAACCGCGCACCATATCGAAAATATTTGGCACCAACACCGCCTTCCTTAAAATCCTCCTCTTGGAGTTGAAATTCAAAGGCCCATGCTGACTACACGTCCACAATCCCGTACCTAATACTAAAGTTATTGATCAGACAAGGAATCACATGAAAGAACTTGAAAAAAAATTTATAAATATTCAATAAAGAATCAGTTTATAAGATTGCAGTTCCAGAGGCTCCTCCAGTGGTTTGTTGCTGTGGATGACAGTAGCCACATTCGTTTTCAGCAGCTCAGCAAACTGCACTAATTCGTCGCCTAGGCTAGTTTCCAAATTATCTTTGTAAGCACTGACCATTATCGAGGATTTTTCCAAAATCTCTTTTGTTGTCAGAGATTTCATCTGTCGAAATACTCCAAAAACACTAGTAATGTCATGATATGCTTTATAACGTTTAGTTAAAGCATATCATATCGGCGCTCAAAGTCAGCTTTTCGCTTTTTTGCCAATAGGAGCACTCCGGTAGACTACTACGTCTCCATTTTTCAAAATTTCCCGATCTCCACCACAGATTCGTTCATTTCGATATCGAATTAGTCCATTTGAATTATTTCAGATTTTTAATAGGCCATATAAAAATTTTCATTTTCCCACCTAAGACTTCCATACGATATAGTCACCGAGCCATCTTCGGACTACCGAAAGTGCCAGAAAACGGCAGAAATTCACGCGGTTTATCGCTTTTCCAGTAGAAAATGACCTGCTGAATCGAATGAGACCATAATCAGCCCCGTAGTACAGATAGTTTTTGAGATATCGGCGCTCAAAGTCAGCTTTTCGCATTTTTTGCCAATAGGAGCACTCCGGTAGACTACTACGTCTCCATTTCTCAAAATTTCCCGATTTCCACCACAGATCCGTTCTTTTCGATATCGAATTAGTCCATGTGAATTTTTTCAGATTTTTTATAGACCAAATAAAAATTTTCAATTTCCCACCTAAGACTTCCATACGATATAGTCACCGAGCCATCTTCGGACTGCTGAAAGTGCCAGAAAACGACAGAAATTCACGCGAATTATCGCCTTTCCAGTAGAAAACGACCTGCTGAATCGAATGAGACCATAATCAGCCCCGTAGTACAGATAGTTTTTGAGATATCGGCGCTCAAAGTCAGCTTTTCGCATTTTTTGCCAATAGGAGCACTCCGGTAGACTACTACGTCTCCATTTCTCAAAATTTCCCGATTTCCACCACAGATCCGTTCTTTTCGATATCGAATTAGTCCATGTGAATTTTTTCAGATTTTTTATAGGCCAAATAAAAATTTTCAATTTCCCACCTAAGACTTCCATACGATATAGTCACCGAGCCATCTTCGGACTGCTGAAAGTGCCAGAAAACGACAGAAATTCACGCGAATTATCGCCTTTCCAGTAGAAAACGACCTGCTGAATCGAATGAGACCATAATCAGCCCCGTAGTACAGATAGTTTTTGAGATATCGGCGCTCAAAGTCAGCTTTTCGCATTTTTTGCCAATAGGAGCACTCCGGTAGACTACTACGTCTCCATTTTTCAGAATTTTCCGACTTCCACCACAGATTCGTTCATTTCGATATCGAATTAGTCTATGTGAATTTTTTCAGATTTTTAATAGACCAAATAAAAATTTTCATTTTCCCACCTAAGACTTCCATTCGATATTGTCACCGAGCTATCTTCGGACGGCCGAAAGTGCCAGAAAACGGCAGAAATTCACGCGAATTTCCGCTTTTCCAGTAGAAAATGACCTGCTGAATCGAATGAGACCATAATCAGCTCCGTAGGACAGATAGTTTTTGAGATATCGGCGCTCAAAGTCAGCTTTTCGCTTTTTTTGCCAATAGGAGCACTCCGGTAGACTACTACGTCTCCATTTCTCAAAATTTCCCGATTTCCACCACAGATCCGTTCTTTTCGATATCGAATTAGTCCATGTGAATTTTTTCAGATTTTTTATAGGCCAAATAAAAATTTTCAATTTCCCACCTAAGACTTCCATACGATATAGTCACCGAGCCATCTTCGGACTGCCGAAAGTGCCAGAAAACGACAGAAATTCACGCGAATTATCGCTTTTCCAGTAGAAAACGACCTGCTGAATCGAATGAGACCATAATCAGCCCCGTAGGACAGATAGTTTTTGAGATATCGGCGCTCAAAGTCAGCTTTTCGCTTTTTTTGCCAATAGGAGCACTCCGGTAGACTACTACGTCTCCATTTTTCAGAATTTTCCGACTTCCACCACAGATTCGTTCATTTCGATATCGAATTAGTCTATGTGAATTTTTTCAGATTTTTAATAGACCAAATAAAAATTTTCATTTTCCCACCTAAGACTTCCATTCGATATTGTCACCGAGCTATCTTCGGACGGCCGAAAGTGCCAGAAAACGGCAGAAATTCACGCGAATTTCCGCTTTTCCAGTAGAAAATGACCTGCTGAATCGAATGAGACCATAATCAGCTCCGTAGGACACATAGTTTTTGAGATATCGGCGCTCAAAGTCAGCTTTTCGCTCTTTTTGCCAATAGGAGCACTCCGGTAGACTACTACGTCTTCATTTCTCAAAATTTCCCGATTTCCACCACAGATCCGTTCTTTTCGATATCGAATTAGTCCATGTGAATTTTTTCAGATTTTTTATAGGCCAAATAAAAATTTTCAATTTCCCACCTAAGACTTCCATACGATATAGTCACCGAGCCATCTTCGGACGGCCGAAAGTGCCAGAAAACGACAGAAATTCACGCGAATTATCGCTTTTCCAGTAGAAAACGACCTGCTGAATCGAATGAGACCATAATCAGCCCCGTAGGACAGATAGTTTTTGAGATATCGGCGCTCAAAGTCAGCTTTTCGCTTTTTTTGCCAATAGGAGCACTCCGGTAGACTACTACGTCTCCATTTTTCAGAATTTTCCGACTTCCACCACAGATCCGTTCTTTTCGATATCGAATTAGTCCATGTGAATTTTTTCAGATTTTTTATAGGCCAAATAAAAATTTTCAATTTCCCACCTAAGACTTCCATACGATATAGTCACCGAGCCATCTTCGGACGGCCGAAAGTGCCAGAAAACGACAGAAATTCACGCGAATTATCGCTTTTCCAGTAGAAAACGACCTGCTGAATCGAATGAGACCATAATCAGCCCCGTAGGACAGATAGTTTTTGAGATATCGGCGCTCAAAGTCAGCTTTTCGCTTTTTTTGCCAATAGGAGCACTCCGGTAGACTACTACGTCTCCATTTTTCAGAATTTTCCGACTTCCACCACAGATCCGTTCTTTTCGATATCGAATTAGTCCATGTGAATTTTTTCAGATTTTTTATAGGCCAAATAAAAATTTTCAATTTCCCACCTAAGACTTCCATACGATATAGTCACCGAGCTATCTTCGGACGGCCGAAAGTGCCAGAAAACGGCAGAAATTCACGCGAATTTCCGCTTTTCCAGTAGAAAATGACCTGCTGAATCGAATGAGACCATAATCAGCTCCGTAGGACAGATAGTTTTTGAGATATCGGCGCTCAAAGTCAGCTTTTCGCTTTTTTTGCCAATAGGAGCACTCCGGTAGACTACTACGTCTCCATTTTTCAGAATTTTCCGATTTCCACCACAGATTCGTTCATTTCGATATCGAATTAGTCTATGTGAATTTTTTTCAGATTTTTAATAGACCAAATAAAAATTTTCATTTTCCCACCTAAGACTTCCATTCGATATTGTCACCGAGCTATCTTCGGACGGCCGAAAGTGCCAGAAAACGGCAGAAATTCACGCGAATTTCCGCTTTTCCAGTAGAAAATGACCTGCTGAATCGAATGAGACCATAATCAGCTCCGTAGGACAGATAGTTTTTGAGATATCGGCGATCAAAGTCAGCTTTTCGCTTTTTTTGCCAATAGGAGCACTCCGGTAGACTACTACGTCTCCATTTCTCAAAATTTCCCGATTTCCACCACAGATCCGTTCTTTTCGATATCGAATTAGTCCATGTGAATTTTTTCAGATTTTTTATAGGCCAAATAAAAATTTTCAATTTCCCACCTAAGACTTCCATACGATATAGTCACCGAGCCATCTTCGGACTGCCGAAAGTGCCAGAAAACGACAGAAATTCACGCGAATTATCGCTTTTCCAGTAGAAAACGACCTGCTGAATCGAATAAGACCATAATCAGCCCCGTAAGACAGATAGTTTTTGAGATATCGGCGCTCAAAGTCAGCTTTTCGCTTTTTTTGCCAATAGGAGCACTCCGGTAGACTACTACGTCTCCATTTCTCAAAATTTCCCGATTTCCACCACAGATCCGTTCTTTTCGATATCGAATTAGTCCATGTGAATTTTTTCAGATGTTTTATAGGACAAATAAAAATTTTCAATTTCCCACCTAAGACTTCCATACGATATAGTCACCGAGCCATCTTCGGACTGCCGAAAGTGCCAGAAAACGACAGAAATTCACGCGATTTATCGCTTTTCCAGTAGAAAACGACCTGCTGAATCGAATGAGACCATAATCAGCCCCGTAGGACAGATAGTTTTTGAGATATCGGCGCTAAAAGTCAGCTTTTCGCTTTTTTTGCCAATAGGAGCATTCCGGTAGACTACTACGTCTCCATTTTGTACGTTATCAATAATGACAATAAACACCTGAGCTCCAAAACGTTGTTCAGGTGTTTGATTTTTGAAAATTAACACCTAAACTTCAAAACGTTGTCCAGAGGTGTTTGATTTTCAACGAAGTCGTCGAGTGTGGCTACAGCCGCTGAATTCGTCTTGATGTCTGTTGCTGGTATTCTTCACAGTCGGCCTGTTCTAATGCATAGCATAATCGCTTCGCGACTCGCGTTCAAGGCATGCAAGATATTTCTCCTAATATTATTTTTACAGTTAGGCCGGATGGGCGTTAGAGTGCGGGGCCCCCGTAGCATTTGCTACTCGTGCTACGTGGCTAATCCGGCACTGTAAAGAAGCGTTTAACGTTTCAAGACATATTTAGAATGTTCCATTGACTGCAAATACTTCGAAATTCCCTGCAATATTCAGGAAACACATTTTTAGGCAGCCGATCCATCAATAAATCTTAACGACCTCCGGAAAAAACCGCGCACCATCTCGAAAATATTCGGCACCAACACCTCCTTCCTGGAAATCCTCCTCTTGGAGCGAAAAATCAAGGGCCCCTGCTGGCTGGACGTCCATAGCCCCGTGCCGGTCAGCAACCCGCTGAGCTGGTGCAAGTACGAGATAAACTGCACCAAGCCGGCGGACCTGAAGATCACCGAGCTGGAGAAGCCCCTGGCGCCGCCTCCGTTGGTGGTGGCCGCCATCAACATGAGGAGCTTCGTGAACCCCAAGACGTACGCCAATGAGATACTGATGATGTCTTGCCTAGCTCACAATAGATACGCGGTGGATAAGCAGGCGCCGAATCCTCCTTTTCAACAACATTTTTGTGGTAAGGTAGAGAATTACATACAGGGTTTTTGAAAACAGGTAGAACCGTTTCTAAGATAGGTAGAACATTGCTAAATAAAGGTTGATTTATGCAGCAACATTTGACATATCGATATTATAAATTAACCGGTGTCCGAGTCAGCAACAGACCTTATTACAAATTTCTAGTGAGAAAAAATACTTTGTTTATAGCGAGGTTTATATTATTTTCCTTTCATAATTATTCTAGATGTTCTGTATAATGTTAGATACCTTGTTCATGATTAAAATATGTTTCTTTTTTATTTCTCTCAATTTAGCTTATATAAGCGTAAGTGCATTTTGGATGCTTTTAAACTATATTTTTTGCATTTATCCGATCTTGATTCATTCATCGTCATCAAAAAACTTGATAAATACCAAAATCACAGAATGTGCTGTGAATTTTTGAGAAATATAAAGTTTCAAAGTTATGCGCAGTTTACTCCAGACAGTGTTTTTGCAGACACGGTTCTTTCTATTACCACGGCAGTGTTGTAGCTTGGTACACAGAATTTTCGCGAAGTTCTAAAGTCGTGTTTATATAATATATTATTTACAACAGATATGAAAAATTTGAAATCTAAATCAGTTCTACAAATATGCTTGAATTTGAAGCTGTTCAGAGAATAAAAAAAAACATTGAATGGAAAATTAAGATTGTTCATTCTTGTTCCTTTTAGTGTTCTCTTGCCCCTCCCAACAAATCCTTCCCCTGAACATCCACGACGCCTTGGGCGGCTACAAAGCGACCAAGGTCCAGAAAATGGACACAGAGAGGGCCCTGCTGAACTACTTCATCGCGCAGTTCGCCAAGATCGATCCCGACTTGGTGGTCGGCCACGATCTGCAGGGCTACCAGATCAACGTGCTCAGCGACAGGTTGGCCAAGCAGGACAGCAAGACGTTCAGCAAGCTGGGAAGGTTGAAAAGAACGGAGAAGAGGAAGCTGGAGAGGAATTTGTTTGCAGGTTTATACCACACATTATTTTTCTGAATAAAAACTTAGTTTCTGTTTTCGTTAAAAATTTCAAGGCATATAACATAATGAAACATGTAATTTTTGCACAACAAACTGGAACTATCTCGGGAACTATTGATCGAATGAAAAATAATAATTGCTTATGCAACTTATTACTTATTCAGAATCTCCATTAGAGTTGTTTTACAGTTTGCAATTGAAAAAAGTTTGCGACAATTTTCATTGCACGCCTAGTGGACCAATTTGTTTGTAGCATAGATTTCTGAAATTTCATGCATTATATTGTCGCAACTTTCACCACCCAATCACATTCATCCCCAAATAAAGAGTCAAGACAGCTTTCATATAAAATTTGACATTTTTTGATTTATATGGAAAAATCGTGGATAAATGCTTGCCACATGGCAGGTTAGCAAAGGAAAGAGAACATAATGGCTTGCCAAATGAAACACAACGCAAAACAACACTTGAAAAAAAAAACAGTACTTACATTTCAACGTCTAGCATGAGGTTGACCAGCAGGATTGAAGTCAGGGAGACGGCGAACTTGATAATTCCTGATGACTTGTAATGATAATAATGAATGATGCCTTATCGACTTGGGTATGGCCGTTACCATTCGATATTGCTTACCTAGGTATTATCGCACGGTAAGCGGTTTTTTTTGCAAATATTAAAGGAACTGATGTCTATGAACTCCGCTGACCGGATCGAAACTACTATGTTCTGGATGTTTTAATTTGGAAAAGTTAATTTATGATAAAAGATCTTGAAATGAAGGAGAGTTTGAGTTATGTTAATTCATAGGCATTTGTACTTCTTGACAATAATTATACATCATTAGATGCGCACATTAGATAATGCTGTTTTTATGGTTTCTTCTACCCAGCTCAAAACTCGGTAAGAAGCAATATACATCAGAAATTATGACAAAAAGGAATTGCAACTCTGAAATTGTCAAACATGAGAAATGTTCGATTATAATCTTGACAGAAAAGTGGATCTTGACAGGATTTGAAAATTTTCTAGGGTTAGGATAACAAATAAGTCAGTTCGGAATAGAGGTCACTAGCTTACTGAGAATGTCAATAATCGATTTTCGCATTTTCTTTAAATGAACAGACAACATCACACCTTGCCTGCCAACTAGGTTTTCATTTAGAACGACAACGATATTACTATGGACAATAAGATGCATTGATTGTATTTGCTTTGATATTCTAGGTCGGTTAGTTTGCGACTTGAAAATATCCGCCAAAGAGCTGATCAAATCGAAATCTTACGACTTGGACACCCTTTGTCAAGTCGTGTTGAAACTGAAAGAAACCCAACGGATAGAACTCGAGCCCGACGACATCCCGAAGATGTACCGGTCGTCCGAGGACATCTTGAAACTGATCTCGTTCACTATGCAAGACACGTCCTACATACTGAAAATGATGTACGACTTGAACGCCATTCCTTTAGCCTTACAGATCACCAATATCGCAGGTAAATGATTGAAGTGTCTTGATGTTTTTTTTTTCATACGGACATTCGACGGGACCACAAATGATTTTGAAATAGATCATACGATGTTTTGCCTAAAACAAAGTCAAGATAATGGCATTTTGTATCTGTCCACCTCGTTATGAGCATTTTGTATCTTTTCAGTGAATAATAGCGGTGAATAACCATTATTCACTGGTCTAGAGTTCCTAGGGTACGCGATATAACAACAGGTATCTTCAATTTTTAGTTTTCTTAATGTCAAATATGTTGAAGAAACAGTTGTTGGAAATAAATTTATATAAAAGACAATAGTGGTCGTGGACAGAATTATTTACAGGTATAGCAGCCCTACAAGATGGAATACCGACTCTCGGGCGCGGAATTACATTATTATTAAGATTGTTAGATTCAAAGTTTTGGCGAACACGCCGGGACACATCTTGATTCTATTATGAATAATATACTATTTTGTTGCTGCAGTTTTCCTAGATTATTCGTAAATGAGTAAGTATACTATGAAACAAGGAAAAATAGGCAATTCATGAATATATATATGTCTATGTCAAATGTCGTTTTTGCTGGACGTTCGTACAAATCTTGAGTGTGGTAGCCGAAATCTAACTTCAACCCTAAGTACACACCTAAGAGATAAACTCTGATTAACTGAGATTATCAGTTGTAGAAAAATATATATTTTGAGTTTTTGTTTTTGAAGGACTTTTTAGCCCTATTTAGTGGTATAAAAAACAATAAAAATGAAAGTTAGCATAGTGAATTCCTGTAGATAATGCTCCATCCGACCAAGTTGTAAATTGATGAATTTTTCTCACAGCTTTAGCGGTCTATTGCATCCGTGTTTTGATGTTTATTTATTTTTATCAACATCGCAGGTAATGTCATGTCGCGAACCCTGATGGGGGGCCGATCAGAACGAAACGAGTTCTTGCTGCTTCACGCCTTCTCGGAGAAGGATTACATCGTACCTGACAAGGAGTTTAAGAAAAAGGACCCGAAGCAATCGAACGCCGCTAGAAAGAAGCCCACCTATTCAGGGGGTTTGGTGTTAGACCCCAAAGTCGGGTTCTACGATAAGTTTATATTGCTCATGGACTTCAATTCGCTCTACCCGAGTATTATACAGGAGTATAATATCTGTTTCACTACTCTGCCCGTTACGAATAGCGAGGATAATTTGGTTCTGCCAGATAGAGGACTACCGCCAGGTAAATATTCATTGATCTGGGTGATTATGATTTTTTTTTCATCCAATTCAATGCAATATGATATCAATATGTTTTCTCCTAGGTATTTTGCCAACAGAGATCAGGAAACTGGTCGAAAGCAGACGCCAAGTAAAAGGCCTGATGAACAGTGCCGATATCTCGAATGACCTTCGGATGCAATACAACATCCGCCAGATGGCTCTAAAACTGACCGCCAACAGTATGTACGGTTGCCTAGGCTTCTCCAATTCGAGGTTCTACGCGAAAAACCTCGCAGCCTTGGTCACCCACAAAGGCCGAGAAATCCTCACCAACACCAAAGATCTAGTAGAGAGAATGTGCTTCGAAGTGGTTTATGGAGACACGGACAGTATCATGATAAACACGAACATCTTGGACTACGACCAGGTGTTCAAAATCGGCCTGAAAATCAAACAGGAGGTCAACAAGCTCTACAAACAAGTAGAGCTGGATATCGACGGGGTGTTCCAGTACCTTCTGTTGTTGAAGAAAAAGAAATACGCAGCCGTGACCTTGTCCAAAACGAAAGAGGGCAAGCTGAAAACCGTGAAAGAGTACAAGGGACTGGACATAGTGCGTAGGGACTGGTCCCAGATCGCTTGCGAAGCCGGTAAATACATCTTGGAGCACATCCTGAGCGAGCAGACTCAGGACGAGCGCATCACCAACATCCACGAGTATCTCAGGAAGGTTCGGTCGGATTTGGAGCAAGGGCAGGTCCCTACAGTACTCCTGGTGATCACCAAGCAACTGACCAAGGACCCGAAAATGTACACCGACAAGAATTCCTTGCCGCACGTGCAGGTCGCTTTGCGTTACAACCAACAACATGGCGGTCACTTCAGGGCAGGCGATACCGTGCCCTACGTCATTTGCGAGGACGGCACTACCAACTCATCTACTCAAAGGGCGTACCACGTGGACGAACTGGCGAAGAACGAGGGGTTGAAGATCGACGTCAAGTACTATTTGGGGCAGCAAATACACCCGGTGGTGACGAGGATTTGCGATCCCATAGAAGGCACGGATTCGTTTCAGATAGCCGAGTGTCTCGGCTTGGACACTAGTTCGTTCAAGAAGCCCAAGCAGGAGTCGCAGGTAGGGTTGGGACTTCAGATAGCAATAGAATTACACCAGGATTCATTCATATTCGCCAATGATTTAAAAGTATACGCCAATAATCATAAACTCATAACACGGATAAATGAATGTAATCGCAAATGGTGGTGATAAATCTGCGGAATCATTGCCAGAAAATTGATATTCACAAATTTATTTTATGTATTTAATCGGGATTTCTATGTCTGTATGTGCATTGATAAATTAACTCTCAAATATTGTAGTGTAATGATACATAATTTTGTAACCACTTAGGGAAGTTATTTGATATATTCAATATTATAATCACCTTCTTTATCAACAGCAAGCCCTCAAACAACACTGCCACTGTACCAAATTTCTATGTACCTGTGAAAAATCAGGTTAGGATATTCGTAACTAGGTTATTATAGATTTGATACTGCCGAACCATATTTATTCACAAAATAGTCTGCTTTAGATTTATAATCATTTCACTATGATAATTTTTTTGTCCTACCATCAAGAATAATAATCAAAATTATAGAACTTTAACCTTTTTCGGATCATCAACTGAGAAATTATCTTCATTTCTACATAACCAGGACTTAAAAGTGGCATATAGAACAAATAACACGTTGGGCGGTTTATCAAGAATAATAAAGACAAAACTTCTAAATTCGAAAAATCAGGGGTATACAAACTCAACTGTGGATCTTGTCCTAAGGTATATATCGGTCAGACAGGTCGTACGTTTAATCAGCGCATTCATGAACATATGATGAATTTTATGAAAAAGAAAACAAATTCAACATACGCCAACCATATACTAGAAGAAAACCATAGTTTTGATGATAATTTCGAAATTTTACACGTAGAAAATGAAGGACTGAAACTCAATCATTTTGAATCATTAGAAATCAACAAACTCAGCAATTTTGACATTTTACTTAATGATCAATTGGACCTCAATAGTTCACCACTGTTGAATTTGTTTTCTTAGTACGTAATAATATGTATTTGCTATCAACTCTCTCAAGTTAATCCGGTATACCGTATTTTAATGTAGATATTGTGCCTAATTTCCGAAAATGGAGGTTTATCGTACCTGTCCACAGGTAACTAATCCTTCAGGTTGGGAAAATAGGATATATCAAGCAAGCCAACGTTAGTTTAGTTCATTGTACCAGTATATCACCTGTCACCTGACGAAGCTACTGTGTTAGCGAAACATGTCATGTGTTTGAGAATTTTGTGGAAACCTTATCGTTTGTGAAGTTTTTACATTAGTTACTGAAATTCGCAGGGAGTGGTGGGGGAGAACATTTGCAAGCCGGAAGTAAAATTCCGGAACGTGGACAAATTCAACTTCACTTGTTACACCTGCAAGGCTGACAACTCGGTAGATTCCCCTCTGAGTGGCGCTGTTCCATTTCTGGAAAAGTGCAGGAATCCAGATTGCCACACCAGGCCTGTCGAGTACCTGCCCCATATCCAGAACCAGCTCACTTTGGCCATGCAGGCCTGCATAGCGAAGTACTACGAGAATCAGTTGACGTGCGAGGATCCCGCTTGTCCTAATGACACTTGTCGGCTGCCATTGCGGTTCGTCAAGAAGTATCCGGTGTGCACGTTGTGCCAGAAGGGGGTTATGTACCGGATGTACACGGAGCAGCAGTTGTACATGCAGCTCACCTATTTCCAGTATATGTTCGATCTGAGCAAACTTGCCAAGAGTAAGTTGATTTGATTTTTAGTGTGATATTGAAGGCCTGTTCGTTTGTGTTTGCTCTACCCGCTTAACTTGAGTTTTTCCTATTATGCCAGTTCGTTTGGAAAGCTCAACATGCTCAAAAAATCATGAAGATCACGTAATCTGACGTCATTGATTTGTTTTTTATGATGCAGTTGGAGCATTAATCTCTTGCATCTTTTGCTCAACTCAAACAAACAGAAAGATTGATTTACTGCTCAACACAAACGAACACAAAGCAGTAGCACAAATCATTTCTGAACATAGCCATCTGAGTTATTTCCAAATTCGTTTTGATTGGAGGTTTTTATCGAGACAAAAGAATAAGTGATTAAAATGATGAAACCATTGGTATTAGTTGAGGATGATGTCCGAATTCGCGTCTATTACCTTGGCAATGTTAAGAATTCTATTATTTTTTGCCATATTGATATACACTGTGTCCATAAAGTCACCCCCCCCCCCTGGTTAACTTTAGAACGGATGGGATTTTTTTTTTCAATTTTTTTTTGCTTCAATGGTAGTTTCAGTGCTACATATTGTTCCAAAAAAAAATGTGTATCCTCCAAAATGGCGCCTGGGCGCCATTTTGGAAGATTTTTTCAAATGGAGTGGGGGGTCGAAAGATACCTCGATTGAAAGGTCTTTCGATTCTCTATACAACCTCAGAATCTCAGACAAAAATATTCATCCAAAACAAAATGGCGGATGATAACGTTTGAAATCTCACACCAGAATTCTTTCGACTAGATGGCTATTAAAGTGCTCGCATGTTATCTTCAAATCTCTATTGGCGTATAGAAGAGTTCTCTATCTATGAAGATATCAATAGAAAGCCATTTTGAAGAGAATAACATGGTAGTCACGTGGAATAAACATTGTTCTTTATTTTGAATAAATGTTTCTAAAATTTTGCAGAATTTGGAAAGGCAATCGAGCAGAGGTAATAATTGACTACCATGTTATTCTCTTCAAAATGGCTTCATGACATCTTCATAGATAGAGAACTCTTCTATACGCCAATAGAGATTTGAAGATCATATGCGAGCACTATAATAGCCATCTAGTTGAAAGAATTCTGGTGTGAGATTTCAAACGTTATCATCCGCCATTTTGTTTTGGATGAATATTTTCGTCTGAGATTCTGAGGTTGTATAGAGCATCGAAAGACCTTTCAATCGAGGTATCTTTCGACCCCCCCACTCCATTTAAAAAAATCTTCCAAAATGGCGCCCAGGCGCCATTTTGGAGGATACATATTTTTTTTTTGGAACAATATGTAGCACTGAAACTACCATTGAAGCAAAAAAAAATTGAAAAAAAAAATCCCATCCGTTCAATAGTTAACCAATAGTTAACCAGAGGGGGGGTGACTTTATGGACACAGTGTATAATTGTTCCATTTTTCGCCATTTTCTTTGTTTCCATTTGTCATCCCGCTTGGTCGATCTGATTAGATTTTTCTGCTCCCTGAAAATTCGCGAAGCAAATATTCAATTGCTGTGAACATCAACGAACATCAAATATTGCCCACATCACTCTTTAGCAGGGTAAGCATGACTAACGAACAGGCCTTATGAGTTTCTCTTTTTACATCTTGCCATAAACAGAGACAACTATGGGAAAAAATCAACTTTAGCGAGTTCAGTAATACAATTGGTAGATTGAAGGATTGCGGAGCCGATAATTTTCATTCTTTTCAAGGCATTAGTGAATGAAATCAGGCACCGCGTTCTCAGTTTCATCTGAAACCATCTTTCACAAAACCTTACTGATTTTTATCAAGGTTATGTGATCATATTTATAAATTAAATCATGGTCTAGTATATAACATTACTCATTCTCATCCAGAAGCTTAGGCATACTTCTGATTTTCCTTTCGTTTTCATTTTGGACTTGATTGATATTTAATTATGAACAGCAAAACATATCATACCTAGTTAGTTAAACCCAAGCATCCCCTTGTACTATATAGACATATATCACACACATTAGCATGTATGTCATCATCAAGAATTTGATTTTCTTTAGTCCCCTCGCATAGTTGATGACTGCTAGTTTCCTCAACAATTAAAAAAAATCTATTCTTGGTGCTTCCTGAGAACGACGAGACTGGTAGTAGGAAAGGAAATACCCCTATTTCTTCATTTTGCAGGACCTTTATTGGAGTCAGAAGTGGAATCGGGATACCACACGCTCCGCGAGACCGTGGAAAAATATCTGAATCACTCTGGTTTCTCGATAATCAACCTTACCGAACTGTTTTCTGGTTTCATGATCAGGAATAAAAATCCGAGCAGCCTCAAGTCAGATCTGCCCAATATCGAAACATTAGTTGAGGAAGAAATTGAGGATGAAGAAGAGGACTTTTGAATTGTTTATATTATACAATGTATATTTTTTAGTCGTGATATTGATTTTCAAGTAATTTTAATTTATTGGTTAGTTTCATAAAACAAAATACAGATATTTTGCAATTTTATTCTACCCTGAAAATATCTTAATTCCTGAGAAACCGTACCAAAGGTATTCAAGTATAGTAGGTTAGGGTCTTGGGAGCAAACGTCAAGATTTTCGTTGAGCATTCAAGTTCCTAAGAGCTTTTCTAGGTATTGATAAATGAAACATTTTCAGGCATTTTCCTTTCAATTTAATAATATATGATTTACCGAAGTTTGGCAGATAAAAACCGAAACACCCCGTTACACTGAGGGAGACATATGAATAAAACAGGATTTGAGGTTGAAATTGAAACATTTTTATTGATTCACACAATGCTGCAGCAGCAGCATTTTCAACAAAAAAGTGTGTAAATGCTTTTAAATTATAATGCTCGTTTCACATACAGTTGTGGAGCATTTGCCATCCCTTTTCATGATTCCCAATTATTGTTTAACAAAACGATCCCGAGAAAGCTCGGTCGAGCAGATCCCGAGACCCAAATAATTATTTCACTTTGTTGCAGTCACAGCTCCTCATTTCAGTATCGGATTTTCCTTTTAAATGTTCAGAACATGCCTCGCGAGCATATCCCGTTAGAATAGGCACATATTTTCTAACCATATCACAGGGAGTTGTATGACTGAATCAGACGATTCTTTTGGACCCACCAGCCACTGTTCAAAAAAATTGAATACTTTGGCAATGGCTAGAAAGTGTTCATCGAACTGATCGATCTTCATGAAATTTCGATATTGAGTAGTTATTTCGAAAAAAAGTCCACAAGAGATTCGGATATTTTGTCTTGAGGCTATTCGAGTTCAAACCTAGGAAGTATTGAATTTTTTTGACCTAAAACTGATCAATAATAATGTTTGCAAGATATGTATGTTCCAAATGACTAGAATCTAGATCATTCTAGTTTATATCAATTGAATTTTTTTCAAGATAGTTTTTGGTTGCCAACCGGTCCTTGACAAATACGAATGGTTTCGACCGGTCACCATCACCTGGTATCCTAAAAACCAGGTATATTAGGAATAATCATATTTTATGAGTCATTGAATTCCTCGAGACAGATTTTGTGGATGAAATAATTTTGAACTGTAAGCAGTTTGAGTAACTCAATCTCCTCTCCTATAATGTTTTGTGACTTCTAATTCAACCAGAAGTGAGGAAGTCTTATTTTTAATGTATCCTATACAGACTGTTTTAAAAGGCGAGGTATGGGTGTGTTTTTCATACCATCGAAGAAAGTCCGCACTGACTGATGCTCATTTTTGTGATGACGTCACTAATTGTTCTGATGGAATTTATCATGATTAAACCGATGGAATATGCCACACATTGATGGAAAAACGGTTTTTGTTGTGTATCAGACTGTCAGTATGTCAGAATTGGAAGAAGCTGGTACGATTTTATCTATTCTAAAATACCTCAAGAACCTAAAAAATTCCTCAATATCTTTTGTTTTATTTTTTGGTGTCAATTGCCATGTCAATCTCCTCCAAACCGATGGGTACTCGCAAAGCAAATTGAAAGTGTTATGGATATCAATCAACATTTCGAAGGAATTTCTCAACAGTTCGATGGTTTTTTCGATTTATGCGCATGACAAAAAAACCGAACATTTATTTCATAATTTGAAAACATAAATTAATCGAAAAAAGTCAATTAAATTGTGTTTTGCTATGAATTGGAATTCATATTCCACTATAAGCTGTAGGTCGCGACCTTCCTAACTCCGCACAAGTTTCGACTTCTGGGGAGTCGGTCCCCAATAGTAGCGAAATACAAATTTAAGAAATTTTACAAAATAAGAAATTTTGTCGTTTGTTCAAAATATTCTTAATTTTTTCCTGTCACTTAAGGCAGTTTATCTTTTGACCACCCTATGAAAACTTTCTTAATGACAGAATTTTGGTGTCAAACTGACATAATTTCTGAATTTGAATATGTTATCTTTTAGAGTTGTTGCAAGGTAAATTACTTGATATGAAAGTTAATAGTCTAACTTCGTAGTTTCGTTTTTCTTGGACTTTCTTTGTACGTCACCCATCTTTCACAAAATACCAATAATTACCAATTAGTTCCATTCTCATTTTTCTTCGAATAGTGATGCTTAATATATGCTATAAGGTCTAAAGATCATCAGTATGTACATACATACATATCAATAAATTCTTGCTTGTATTCAGTAATTCTATCTGTTTTATTACTCGCCAGCAGTTTCCACCAATGCTCACCAAAAATACTCTCAAACTGTTTGTGTGCTAACAAAGCAGGTCCATTTTCAAAGCATTAAAACCGATTGCTTTTTTTTAATGATCTTGAAAAAGAATCACATCTGCTATTCCTCGGGTTACTACATGATAGCAAAACACAGTAGGAAGTTTCAAGTGTTGAGTGGTCTTCTTTCAAGGATTCAATTTGAAGGTTACTCTGAAGAACCAATCAGATTCTTCAACACTCACGACTTGGCACACCAATTTTCCACTTGGAAACCCCTGATTTCCCTCAGTGATCTGTTGAAAACTGCATTCGATGCATAATGTAGTTTTTGAATAGTGCTGTAGGTTGGAAATTTCACCCAGAATATCGAACATCACAGCCATTTGGAATAAATACATACTATTAAGATTTTTGGTTAGTAAGAGGAATTCAATATTTTCTGATTTCGATAACAACTGCAGATGCAGTTCTCAGAAGAGTTTTTGGGAAGGATGAATCATCTCATTCAGTCACCAGAAAAAATCAACCACTCAACTTATACAAATAAAAAAACTACAAAGTAAAAATCATCAAGAGAATGTACACTAAAGATACGTGTTCATAATAAATATTCAGTTAAAAAACACCTGAACGAGCGCACAGTTAGAAATTGACAGGACCTGTCAATGTCGCCGACGACATTCAGGAATGCGACTAGCGACACCGACACCTCCCAGTATAGAGGCACAAAAGGAGAGTTGTGCCCACTCTAACAACAACATTTTTGTCCCTTAATCACTATTTCTTACTTTACTTGCCGTAACACGCTAAGACATCGCATCAGACTGCCCTTTATCCGTCCTTGTGCAGCATCAATAATCATGTAAGATTACTATTTTTTAGATCGGTAAATATCACAGTCGTTTATAGAATACTCTTAGCGCTCTAAATAGCTGTAACTGCAACGCTATATCGCGCGTGTCACAATTTTCTCGAAACATTTCGAGACTTCGACTTCGTGCGACTCGTCACACCATCGAAAAGAAATAAATAACTGTTTTTTTTGACATGATGACAGACAACAAATCGAAAAATTATAAGAAACCAGCATTCTGCGTAGGCAAACGATCACTTGAGCCCCGCCCCCCACCATCGCACTAGGCCACGCCCACAGAAAGTAGGATCCGCCTACACATATGTAGATAGTAGTGGGGGAGTGACTTAACTAACGCTACACCTACTCATCGTCAATAATTATGTAGTTGAATAGAATGCCTGTGGAGCAAAATAGAGAACATACAACACAGTTATTATGAATCCATTTGATCAGATAATTATATTTCAATGAAAAACGTCAAGAGTGGTTACGTTCTTTATACTATACTTATTACGATAGGCGAGCTGTAGATCCGCATCGAGTGCATTATCAAATTTCAAAGAAAATAAGTTTACCAGAGTGACAGAAAAATCGATACAGAAACATCACACTCTGTCACATTCGAAATGTGTATATTAGTTATATATTTCTGTAGTTGTTTAGATGGTTTACTAATGATAAGAAGAATAAATATCGCGGGTGGATACTTTGATATAGGGGGATTCACTAGAGATGGGTAGGTTAAGTGTTCTAAGTAATGAGGGATAGGGGGTGAAAGAGAAGAGGATCGTCGCCTAATTCTCCCACCAGTCGTCGCGGCTGTTGGAGCTGTTGTTGTAGTTACCGCCGAAGTTGCTGCCTCGGTCGATGTTGCCGTAATGGCCACCTAAAAAAAAATAAAGGCTGTAAAAATTACTATAAAATCCATAGGTAAACGGTCCTTGGAGCCGAAGGACCATTCCATTGACTTCTTCAGTTTATCATTATGGTAAAGAGGCATTGCATTCGGTTGTTTTGAATTTGTAGAAAACTGTTTTTACTTTGTACCAGTGTTCATTTTTTATCGACTTGTGTCTCAAATTTGAACGTTCTATTATTGCAACTCAAAGATTTTGACATTTTTCAATTCCTACGCAATTACTATAGGTCGCGTGCAAGAACTGTCAGATGACCGACCCTGGAGGCAAAACATATTTGTTTACAAGTGATCGAAATAGTTTTCCACAATTATTTTGGCATATGAATCGTATTTTTCCGCTATTCATCAATTCACTAATGCCATCACATTGTCCTGTTGTAAAATGCACAAAAACTGCAGCGGAAGATGAAGAAATCCGGATGGTACATTATGATTCAAAATTAAGTACCTATTATAGTCACTCACATAGTTTTCATTTTTGAAATTTGGTTATTTCTCTGATTTCTCATCGGAATTCCTTCTGCAATAGGATCAGCTAATAGAAATATACCTGAAATTTCTAGAATAATGCAAGAAGATTGGATTCATGCAATCAATCGGTAGGACTGGTCTGACATGCTGACGATCGTGTGTGTTGTAGACATTTTCAATCTATTAGCAGCATTAGCTTGTATTGCAGAAGTGGCAAAAGGCAGAAGGAATTTTAATAAGGAATGACAACATTTCATAATGCTAACTATGTGAGATTACTATTTATCTGAAAAATCATATTCCCTAGTCTCTTGCTGCATTTTTTGTGCATTGTACAACAGCACAATGCGAAGGCATGCTTGAATTAATGAATAACGCAAGAAACACGATTCGTATGCCAAAATATTGTGAAAAACTATTTCAACCTTTTGATTCCTCTGTAACCAAATAAAAAAGTGAGGTTGTGTTTCAATAATTCACAGAAGAATGAGGTTGTGTTTCAATATTTTGCCTCCAGGGTCGGTCTTCGTGCACGCGACCTATAAAATCATGTCATTATCGCCTTATATTTTGAGGTTATGTGAAAAAAGTTTGGTTACAAAAGTGGTAGGTCTCTTTATTACCTACAACTTTGTCATTTAAGATTCCTCCATAGGACTTGTGGTTTTGCCGGAAATTGAGATACACCGTTTTTTACCCTTCAAACCCCCTTTCACTTCCCGACCTCAGATCGCCGGTAAATTGTTTTTCCTTTCATCTTTGTTATATGCTCGTCCTTTCTCACCGGGTTTCATCCTACTATTATTTTTTTCTTTCAAAAATTATCGACACTGGTCTATTGTTGTTCTTGGAATAAGAAAATCGGACCTCCACCACTCACCTCCATTTCCGAACCCGTTGTTCCCGTACCCTCCGCCACCGCTCCTGCCGCCACCCCCGCTGCGCTGCATCCCCCCGCCCCCGGGCTGCTGCCGGTAATCCCGACTGCCGAAACTGCCGCCGCCTCCACCGTACCGCCCCTTGCCGCCGCCGCCGCCACCTCCTCGCCTGCCCGAGGAGGGCGCCCGGCCGTCCGCCGCGACGCTTTCCAGCCAATTGGGGAACTCCTGCTTGGCCTCGATGAGCAGGTCGAGCATGCCGGTGGCCAGGTTGCGGTTGCGGTCGTTGAAGAAGGAGGTGGCGAGACCGAGGTTGCCCATACGGCCGGTACGACCGATCCTGAGGAAAGAGGATGGGTATGTAATGGGCCTTGTGGATTTGAATAACGATCTTATAATTATTATAGAAAATCAACAGATTTGATTGACCACGTGGAATTTTAATAACTTGGTTCTCGCACAGGATATCCGCAGTACAGGGTCATTCCGCATATTTAAACACCTTCTACAGGGTTTATCATTGAAGATAGAGAAAAACTTCGAATGCAAAAGTTGTAGGGTTTGTTCTGAACCTCCAGAAAATTATACCAGATGTAACAAATGAATATTGCCGATATAAGAAATGGGTACCAACTTCGTTATTTTCTATAGAACATCCTATATATTTTTCAAAAAAATTCAAGAACTTTTCTTCCTGATTCCAAAAATATATTGGTCATTGATATTTGCTTCAGCCGTTTTCGAGATATTCGAAGTTGAACAATTCAGATTTAGTTTCAATTTGATTTCACCAAATCGCAATTGCCATGGAGAAAAAATGAGACATACGCGAGTTGTCATTAAGGGAACGTTCTATCATATGTTCATTGCATAGAAATAGGGGTTTCAGTGAAGATGAAAAGTTTGAAATGATTTGTTTACTCTACAAAAATAATAATAATGCATTGAAAGCTCGAGCGGAGTATCAACGCATTCATCCTGGAATGCCAGTTCCTTCCAGAAAAAATCTTCAAAGAAAAAACGCACTGTCATTGCTGATGAAGATTGAGAATTGGAAATATTCCTTTATTTCCAAGGTAGAACCAACATCGAATTACTTATGTAGTAAATATTTGTGTTCATGAAAAATATAATTATTTTTAAAAAATCCCACTTATTCTACTACGGATGCATCTAATCACATTGGCAAAAGTACTAAAAAAAGTTCAACTGTCCTACATAAACACGGATATAACCCATTCAAAATTATGCCAGTGCAAAAGCTAACAGACAATCATAAAATTGCAAGACAATCATATTGCACAGAAATGATGCTGAGAAAAGACAAGGATAATAATTTTTTGAAGGTTTCATGGACTGACGAGGCATCGTTTACCACTGCCGGTGTTTATAATCGAAAAAACACCGATATCTGGTCAACTCATATTCCACATGGATACGAAGAGATTCAGCACCATTGTCGCAAATTCCTCAATGTCTGGTGTGGTATTTTCAAAAGACAATAGATTTTCTTTGAGGGTTCTTCAGCAGGAGATAGGTATTTGCAGTTTTTAAACAATGAAATTGAAGATCTGTTGGAGAACCTCCCACTCAGGCAGAATAATGAATTGATCTGACATCAGGATGGCGCGCCAACTCATCAAGTTATACCCGTACGGCATCACTTGATCGTTATCAAACGTGGATCGGAAATTTTGGAACAGTGGATTGGCCGCCAAACAGTCCAGATTTAACACCTTTAGATAACTTCCTATGAGGCTATTTGAAGAATGAAGTGTATAGAGAAAGAAGTAGAAATTTGGCTGATTTGAGAGGAACAATTTTGGAATGCAATAACATATTGAACAATCATCACTCCATAAACTTGTATGTTTCTTGGGATCAATAAATGTTAATATTATTTGTATTAACGACAGAGAAACCAGCTTCTGAACTAAAAAAATATATATACCAATTCAAATACAAAGAAAAAAATTGTGAATCATGCTTAATAAAAGTGATTTTTATTCGTCTGACAACTTTGAACTTTCACCAAATAAAACAGGAAACCATTCAGAATAGAATTTTTCATCTGTAACCTCGTTAAAAATTGTAACAGCCTTGCCTGTTCTGTCGTATAAAAACAAAATGCTGCATATCTTGTTTGTTTCTTGTATCACGACACCATCTGTCTACTAATCATCCCAGTTGTTTAAGAAAGATAAAATAAATTTTTTGAATGATTACTCCTCTAAAACTCACCTGTGCACGTATTCTTCGATGTCCGACGGCAAATCGAAATTGATCACATGCGTAACGTGCGGAATATCTAAGCCTCTCGCCGCGACGGCCGTCGCCACCAAAATCGGCGTGTTGCCAGACCGAAACTGTCTCAGCGCATCTTCACGCTCCCTTAAACAAAACAACAAAATCATCGTCAACATTGAGATGTTTATAATTCCTCTGGTGTGCCCACCACTGTTCAATCGTTTCGTCAGACTAGCTCTCGATATGAACAATTGAATGCGAGTTCGGAACGCGGAGTTCTCATATTCGATGACAGATGGCGTGAAAGATGGACAATTTCTTGAAAAATTTCGAAATGCGTTTCGAATCTCATTATGAAGTTGAACTAAATGATGTTTTCCTTTTTCGGGACCTGAAGAGTCCCGTTGATGATGCACGAATTCAATAATAGCTGCAATGTGTGAGGATTCTTTGAAAATCCTAACATTTGTTTTATTTTATGTACCAAAAGTGAGTAAATGAACTATATCACAGGATTTTTTTGAGTTAGGACTTTATGTCGTTTATGAATTCACCATTGAAAGTCGAAAATATGACGCACTGTTTCCATTCAAACAAAAAATTGTGTAAATGAAAATGTGAAATCAAATGAGCGTGTCATGATGCCATGATGATCACGCCTCGCTATTTTTACAAAGTAAGCAATATCGACAGATTTCGAAATTCCTTTCATTAGGAAGTGATAACACCATTTGACTTTCTATACATCTATCTCTATATCATAGGAGAGACTAGATGGGTAATCAGTTCTGGCAATACAGTTTGTTTAGAAGCAACATTTAAACAAGGATAGCAACAGCTGTTTCAGTAGTAGAAGTAGTTCACCTACTGAATAGAATTTCTGGCTTAATTGCTCTCATAACGATCTTTCATCTTGTTAGTGTAAATTAAGAGTTCCTAAATGTACTTGACACTGCTGTTTTGACGTTTTTTTGTATATTAGAGTACGGACACTAGACAAACAGTGACAATCAAACAACCACAAACGATTTTGAAGCAAATCATATGTTTTGCGCTTAGATAAAGCATCTTCCTTCCTCCACAAGTCCTGGGAAGGCTAGATCCATATATCGTTCTCTGTCTTTGATTTTTGTATGAGAGTGCATAGCGTCTCCTCGAGTTGGTAAAAGGGTACGATAAATTGATTAGAAAATTATTTCTTCTCGAAATATTGAATGTTAAGGCTGAAGGACATCAATGGAGGTCGAAATCAAGTTAGTAGGTACATACATATATACCAATATATATACGTTCAATTGAATATTTTTTCATCACAAAAGTTCAGAATGGGGTGAAAACTGATAAATTTCAACCAATGAAACATACTTTTATTTCGTATGGATCAATTTCACTTGTACAAGAGTGGTAGGTAATGAGTGAATGATATGGCAACAATAACAGCTGATTTCAGTTAGGATAAATAATGAAGGTTCTCCAAGACATATGGAAGTAAATATAAATGAACTCAAGCGCTCGACTCACTATAGACCGCCGTTCACATTGCTAAAGGGGATTGTTGGTTTGAACCCGCGGCCATCGGAAGATCATTTTCAATACCTAACATAAATGGTGCACTCGTTAAGCGTTCTTGTTCTGTGCTCTGATAATATCTTGCTCGTATCTTAGTACCCAAGAAGTGGTTCAAAATCCACTAGAGTTCCACAAAGTGACTATATGTTTTCACAAAATTATTCGTTCCTATACGAAGATGATCTGAAGAATTCTTGGTTGAACAGGGATGTGAAATCTGTTTGAGTCAGTCAATTCAGGAAGTTGCTGCTATTTCATCAACAGATGATCGACCGTGATCTCCATCATTCCATCACAAGCAATAACCAGAGTCTAAATTGGAATAAGGTTCTTTTCGATACTCGCTCAGTTTATAAATTGTGGGTTCGGCTCGTTCTCTCAATACGATCCTATTCTTCAACATCAAATCTTCCGTTCTGAAGTGTATCTGATAAAAATGCGTTGAAAAATGTTCAATATCCTACCAAGAAATTTGAATACCTCGCAAATGTTGTGGCCTGAACATATATTCCATGCCGGCCGTATCATATTCTGTTTCCATAATTGTAGAATTACGTTATCCGATGGAAATTCGAATAGAGTGAATTTGTTTCCCATGTTCTCAGTTGGAAACTGCACAAATTCGCATATTTCTCCTAATTCTCTCAATTTTTCAAACCTTCGATATTCAAGTCATGTACGTCCGTGTACTGTCAGTTCCCGCATTTTCCATCAATTTATTTGTGGTTATGTCTGATTGTCAGTGCTTGTCATAGTGTCCATACTCTGATATACAAAAAAACATCAAAACAGCAGTCAAGTTCATTTAGGAACTCTACCCTTCGCTACTCAGCAAAAAGTAGTTCACCTACTAAATAGAATTTCTGGCTTCATTGCTCTCATAAGAATAGTTCATCGTGTCAGTGTAAATGATCAGGGGATAATATACAGGATCGCAAAAAAGTATGGAGGAAAACCATTTCACCAAACATAATCCTGCTGCATGCGTTACCTTTGCGTGCGGTCGCCATGAATGGAGGTGACGGGATATCCCTCGTTGTGCAGGAACTCTTCCAGCGAGTCGGCGCCCTTTTTCGTCTCGACGAAAACGAGCGTGAGGCTTTCCGCCGACGGATGCTGCAGATCGGCCACGTTGAGCAGGTCGAGCAGGAAGGAGCGCTTGTCGTGCTCTTCCACCCACACCACCTTCAAGGGTTCAAGAAGTGAAGTTTTAATTGAAGCATGGCAGCAAATCGATCAGTTGTATATTCAAAATCTGATAATGGGCATGCGTGTAAATGTAATGTTTTTTTGAAACCCTTGGAACTTTCATAAAAAAGCAGTTATCGTAACAAATAAAAAAAGAAAACGTATGTAATAAACGTAGCTCGATGATTAAATGAAAAATTACAGGATGTACCAGCTTAGCCACTCCAGAGATTGGTTTAAAATTGAAGTAAAAATTCACTTTTTTTGTCACTCTGTATAATTTGAAGATGCCTCATTTCTTAAAATCTCAACATTGTGTGTGATTCTTTATGACTTTACCTACGGAATAAAAAAAATTGAACGAATCAGACATGAATTAACGAAGTTATCGTTGATCAAGTTCTATCAATATTTTGAGTGGATTGATTATTTCGCCGGTGAGTGTACATAGATGTAAACCCAAAGTCATCTCCACAACATTTATTAGAATGATTTCGGGCTTATATAAGCCCATCATCAGCCAATAGAAAGTATCATAGCTATGGAAATGAAAAAGTAGACATACAAATAGTATAGTTAATAGCAGGGCAGGGAACTTTCAATGTTGAATGAGTTTAGGTATTATGTGACAAATGCACTCACCTTTTGAGTAATATTCTCTGAAGTGCTGCCGACCCTACCCACGGCCAAGAAAATGTAATTTTCCAAAAAGTCTCTGGCCAACATCTGGATGGGTGACGGGAAAGTAGCAGAGAACATAAGGGTCTGTCTTTCTCCGGTCCTCGGCATAGTTTCCTACACATATTCAAGTACATGAAAATCTCTGTTTGTTGGAGTATACAGGGTGGGGTGAACCCAGCTTTCTGGAGGTGATAGAACATTGAAAAATAAGTATAATTTGATCAATAAACTGAAGGCTCAAAATGTGTATTAAGGGTCATGTATCTTGGTGTTCAGAAACATAAGTGAGATTGAGAAGTCCTGAATATGCATTAGCGGTCTAGTTAGTATTTATGTCTATCAGGCAGCGGTCATTTGACAAAAGTCAAAAACCAGATGAAGTTAAGAGCAGCAATTGATAGAAATAACAAATATTTTTGACATGAAGTCACAAATAGTAGTCAAACGCAGATACTGGATACTGCTGACTGATGATATGAAATTAGTTGGTACACAATAATGAAGTTACTCCCAGTCTTGGTGTTCATAGTACTTGATACACTTCTCAGTGACAGCCGTTGATGCAAACAAATTGGTTACAGGATGTTTTCATTAATTTATCTTGAATTTACCATTTTCAAGTTCACAATTTACTTATTGCAGTAGTTGGTCTAGTCTAGTTGAATACTTGATTACTTATCCCGTTTTTATGCTGGTCACTGGCGTGATAACTTCTCACTTTTCCCTATGAAACCTTCACCTTTGCTAGACCTGTATGTAATGGTGAGTCGTATGCTTGACACAGATATAGATGATCAAGGTTAAAAAGAGAACTGTGTTAAAAAAAAAGAAATACTGAATTGTATCCATCAAAATAAAACGAGAACAAAAACTAAAAACCCACACAAAACAAGTACCTTCTCGACGATCCGTCTGATCTGCACCTCGAACCCCATGTCGAGCATCCGATCGGCCTCGTCGAGCACCAGGTAGCGGCAGTAGTCAAGGCCGATGCGCCCTCTGTCGATCATGTCGAGCAGACGGCCGGGCGTGGCCACCAGCAGATGGCAGCCTCTGTCCAGCTCACGCATCTGGTCGCCGATGTGGGCGCCCCCATATCTGCAACGGTTTAGTTTAGTTCCAGTTTATCACACTTGATTGCAAGTATGCTCTAAAGATATTACAGAGATTCCTCAAACTGATAACGTCCGAAAGTTCACGATTCCCAACGGATACACTGATGAACTTCAACAGTTATACATTTTTTGTTGTTCAATAATTGTGAATCTAAAATACTATACAGGATGTTGCGAAATTCGACCGACAAAGCTTGACAGGTGATAGCCCTCGTGATTTCATAATCACTGAGATAGGGACATACGGTCTTCAAGTGTTCAGTTCTCGAGATACAGGGCGTTGAAGTTAACAAATAAAAATAGTTGTTTTGCAATATCTCAAGAAAAATTGAATATAATCTTTGAATGGGTCATTTTTTGAATGGAATCGCTAACGGTTCCTACGTCATGAAATTTCCTGACTAAGCATCTTCACTATATTCTGGCTACAATGGAGGATATTGCTAACAAAAGTACACACAGACGCCGCAATTCACTAATTGTTATGGCGGGTATAACTGCTGAATCGTGAGCAAAAGATCGAGGGCACGTCAACGATGTACACATGCATTTGTAAGTCATGAAAAAATAATATGCTAATAGTCTAGCATATTAGTCATAGACAGTTGATGGAACAAAAGATCGAAAAGCGCGATGTAGCCGTACAGCATTCAAAGATTCCACAGAAGTATCCCCACCATTAGCGATTCCATTCATTTATTCGTGTTTGGTGTTTAGGATTGATGCCGTATACTTTTTGATGATTTATGGCGAGTTCACATGCCAGCTTATGCCTACAGCAGAAAGCTTGAATAAAACGGGCGCACTGTTCACATGAGAAAGTTGGAAAAGTGACAGTGACTGCCACATATTTGGTTAAATTTCAGATGTACGTCCTCCAGAAACCACATTTATCACATTTTTAGGAGTGTTTTTCCAGTACTGTTTTCCACACTGCATAATATGATGATATAGCACCAATATGTATTCATTTTGTCAATATTTGTGTGGTCCTGTCAAACGATCTGGGCTTTTTTCCGCAAAAGTCGGACTGAAACCGACTTTCTAGCTTGTGTCTGTTATTATCCCCACCATTCACGATTCCATCATCATTCATTGTTGGCGTATACTGTTCAATGATTAATGAATTATCGCGGTGTCATATCTATTGTTATTTAGTCTGAGCACTCACCCGCAAATATACAGTGTCTATTATTATCCCCACCATTCACGATTTCATTCTCAATCCGTGTTTGGCGTTTGGGATTGTCGGCGTATACTTACACGACGCACGGTCTAACTCTCGACCGGTACGCGAACTTCTTGCTCTCGTCGTATATTTGCGTGGCGAGCTCGCGGGTGGGCGCCAGCACCAGCCCCAAGGGGAACTGCTTCCGGCGGCCGCTGCGTCCATGCTGGATGTTGGGCGGGCCGTTCTCGAACATCTGGTTGAGGATGGGCACGAGGAAGGCGGCTGTCTTGCCGGAACCGGTCTGGGCGCACGCCATCACGTCGCGCTTCCCTAAGGGCAAAGGGAAGATTGTTATTGAAATTCAATAGATATGGTGTTACAGGCAATGTACTGAATTGGTTCAAAAGTTATCTAGATGGAATGTAAAAACTTCACAAACGATAAGATTTCCACAAAATTCTCAAACACACGACATGTTTCGCTAACTCAGTAGCTTCGTCAGGTAATATACTGGTACAATGAACTAAACTAACGTTGGCTTGCTCAACTTTTATATATCTTACTTTCCAACCTGAAGGATTAGTTACCTGTGGACAGATACGATAAACCTCCATTTTCGGAAATTAGGCACAATATCTACCTGTCCACAGGTAACTAATCCTTCAGGTTGGGAAGTAAGATATGTAAAAGTTAAGCAAGCCAACGTTAGTTTAGTTCATTGTACCAGTATATCACCTGACGAAGCTACTGTGTTAGCGAAACATGTCGTGTGTTTGAGAATTTTGTGGAAATCTTATCGTTTGTGAAGTTTTTATAATATTTATTCTGTTTCAAAGCTATCACCAAACAAGTCAAAACATTTAAACAAAAATGATTCGCTGAGGATACTCTGTTATACGTTATTGGTGAACCAATAAGCAAATTTGCAGTATTCATTGAACACATATTCTTTTAATTCTTTTCGTGCGATCAACTTTGAGTTCAGAAAAAATCGTGATCATTGTCATGACGTACTAAATAGAAATGCCATGTACACACAGCTAAAATGCGAACCATTTCACGCCAGTACAGCGCTATAAATGAAATGTATTGATAAATCTAATGATTTATTTGGAAAATTTCGCTCTAACATCAGTCATCAATGGTACCTGAAATGACGTATTCAACAAATAGTATTGGTAAAAATTGGATTGTTTCCTAAAATTATATACCGGATACCTGATGAAATGGAAATTATAAACGAAATCTAAATATTAGAATAGCATAATAATTGACGATGATAAAATTATAGTTATATACACAATAACGATGATCTTACAGCTCATTTTTGAGGTTGATCATTCTAATTCAAATTTCTGTTGAAAGGTTGAAAAAATATTTCAATTTCTCCGAGAAATGTATAACTAAATTATGTAAACAGTGGTTGTAATCCTGATACTGAGATGCATTTTGTTTACATTTTTGTTGAACGTTTGAGGTTAGACCATACGGACAGCTTCCTTCTTCCTATGTTCGGGTACGTAGGCGGGAAGGAAATGAGTCAAGACACTTATCATAGGCAAATATCCCCAAATATCACTAGATCTAGGTAACACGTCATAAGTCTGCGTCATTAAAAATTCGAAATTGCTGTATTTTGAAAATAAAAATAATTTGAATACTTTGAATAGCCATTTTAGACATCAGAAACCTAAAACTAGGTAATTGAATAATCATTCAATAATTCGTTCAAGGGAAACTTTCTAAATACAAATAGCCGGAATCCATTATGTTTCCTTACCTATGATGATAGGGATAGCATATTTTTGAACAGGTGTCGGGGAGTCATATCTTGCCATAGCGATGTTGCCGCGTATCAGTTCGGTCAGCTGTACTTCCTCAAACTGGAAAAGACATAAGGAGAGTGAGAGGCGTCAAATTCAAGTTCAAACGCAAGGCTCATCAGAACTGTCGTCGTGCTTATACTTACAGATGTAATGTGAGAGGGCACTTTATCTCCAGTCGCCTCCACCGGTATATCCTCGTACTTGCTGAAATTGATGCCGGTGTTGCCAGTCCCGAACAGCTCCGCTTCGACGCGTTCGTCCCTGGCGGTGGGCTGGGTCCAGTCGTTTTCGTTGTTACGCTTATCGCTCCATCTGATCAATCATGAAGATTTCATTAGTTGAAAATTATTTTGCTCTTATGGTGCTTATACGCGCTGACCTCATAAGAGATGTAGATATGTCTTCACTATCAAAATACTAGAGTAACTATAAGAATTTGACGTTTTTATACAGATTAAGTTAGGATCAAAGTTAGTGAGTCTATTTGTTCGGTGACATTCAAAACGAAGAGTTTTTTTCTCGAATCTGACATCAAATTCGTTCTTTATGGGTCTGAATTGGTGTCTATAATTTTTTTGGGATTTTTAGGGCAATCAGGAAAAAAATATTTTTCGAGCTGTATAAGCCTACCACATCGCGTAAACCGCTGATTTTGAAAATATAAACGAAGAGTTTTTCCTCGAATCAGACATCAAATACGTTCTTCATGGGTCTGAATTGGTGTCTACAAATTTTTTGGTATTTTTAGGGCAAACAAGAAAAAAAATTGTTCGAGCTGTATAAGCCTACTGCATCGCGTAAACCGCTCATTTCGAAAATCTAAACAAAGAGTTTGTTCTCGAATCTGACATCAAATTCGTTATTTATGAGTCTGAATTGGTGTCCATGAATTTTTAGGGAATTTTAGGACAATCAGGAAAAAAATATGTTTCGAGCTGTATAAGCCTCTACTGCATCGCGTAAACTGCTGATTTTGAAAATCTAAACGAAAAGTTTTTTCTCGAATCTGATATCAAATTCGTTCTTTATGGGTTTGAATTGGTGTCCATGAACTTTTTGGGAATTTTAGGTCAATCATGAAAAAATTATTTTTTGACCAGTATAAGCCTACTGCATCGCGTGACCCGCTGATTTTGAAAATCTAGGGGAAGGGTTCTTTCTCAAATCTGACATCGAATTTGTTCATTATGGGTCTGAATAAGTGTCTATGAATTTATTGGGATTGTTAGGTCAATCAGGCAAAAATATTTTTCGACCAGTATAAGCCTACTAAAAATTGTTCTAAAATTGTTCTATCCGTCATTCGGTTGCCCCCTTACGAGCAACCCTCAGAAGTCTTCGAGAGTCTACTGTCTACAGTCTACTGCATCGCGTGAACCGCTGATTTTGAAAATCTAGGGGAAGGGTTCTTTTTCAAATCTGACATCGAATTCGTTCATTATGGGTCTGAATTGGTGACTATGAATTTTTTGAGATTTTTAGGGCAATCAAAAAAAATATTTTTCGAGCTGTATAAGCCTACTGCATCGCGTAAACCGCTGATTTTGAAAATCTAAACGAAGAGTTTTCTCTCGAATCTGACATCAAATTCGTTCTCCATGGGTCTGAATTGGGGTCTATGAACTTTTTGCGATTTTTAGGTCAATCATGAAAAAATTATTTTTTGACCAGTATAAGCCTACTGCATCGCGTGACCCGCTGATTTTGAAAATCTAGGGGAAGGGTTCTTTCTCAAATCTGACATCGAATTTGTTCATTATGGGTCTGAATAAGTGTCTATGAATTTATTGGGATTGTTAGGTCAACCAGGAAAAAAATATTTTTCGACCAGTATAAGCCTACTGCATCGCGTGAACCGCTGATTTTGAAAATATAAACGAAGAGTTTTTCCTCGAATCAGACATCAAATACGTTCTTTATGGGTCTGAATTGGTGTCTATAAATTTTTTGGTATTATTAGGGCAAACAAGAAAAAAAAATTGTTCGAGCTGTATAAGCCTACTGCATCGCGTAAACCGCTCATTTCGAAAATCTAAACTAAGAGTTTGTTCTCGAATCTGACATCAAATTCGTTCTTTATGGGTCTGAATTGGTTTCCATGAATTTTTAGGGAATTATAGGACGATCAGGAAAAAAATATGTTTCGAGCTGTATAAGCCTCTACTGCATCACGTGAACCGCTGACTTCGAAAATCCAAACGAAGAGCTTTTTCTCGAATCTGACATCAAATTCGTTCTTTATGGGTCTGAATTGGTGTCAATGAATTTTTTGGAATTTTTATGGTAATCAACAAAAAAATATTTTTCGAGCTGTATATTGTATAAGCCTACTGCATCGCGTAAACCGCTGATTTTGAAAATCTCAACGAAGAGTTTTTTCTCGAATCTGACATCAAATTCGTTCTTTATGGGTCTGAATTGGTGTCTATGAATTTTTTGGGATTTTTATGGTAATCAACAAAAAAATATTTTTCGAGCTGTATAAGCCTACTGCATCGCGTAAACCGCTGATTTTGAAAATCTAAACGAAGTGTTTTTTCTCGAATCTGACATCAAATTCGTTCTTTATGGGTCTGAATTGGTGTCTATGAATTTTTTGGGATTTTTAGGTCAATCATGAAAAAATTATTTTTTGACCAGTATAAGCCTACTGCATCGTGTGACCCGCTGATTTTGAAAATCTAGGGAAAGGGTTCTTTTTCAAATCTGACATCGAATTGTTCATTATGGGTCTGAATTAGTGTCTATGAATTTATTGGGATTGTTAGGTCAATCAGGAAAAAAATATTTTTCGACCAGTATAAGCCTACTGCATCGCGTGACCCGCTGATTTTGAAAATCTAGGAAAAGGGTTCTTTTTCAAATCTGACATCGAATTGTTCATTATGGGTCTGAATTAGTGTCTATGAATTTATTGGGATTGTTAGGTCAATCAGGAAAAAAATATTTTTCGACCAGTATAAGCCTACTGCATCCGGTGACCCGCTGATTTTGAAAATCTAGGGAAAGGGTTCTTTTTCAAATCTGACATCGAATTCGTTCATTATGGGTCTGAATTGGTGTCTATGAATCATTTGGGATCTTCAGGTCAATCATGAAGAAATTATTTTTCGACCAGTATAAGCCTACTGCATCGCGTAAACCGCTGATTTTGAAAATCTAAACGAAGAGTTTTTTCTCGAATCTGACATCAAATTCGTTCATTATGGGTCTGAACTCTGAATTAGTGTCTTTGAATTTTTTGGGATTTTTAGGTCAATCAGGAAAAAAATATTTTTCGAGCTGCGTATAAGTCTACTGCAACGCGTAAACCGCTGATTTCGAATATCTAAACGAAGAGTTTTTTCTCGAATCTGACATCAAATTCGTTCATTATGGGTCTGAATTAGTGTCTATGAATTTTTTGGGATTTTTAGGTCGATCAGGAAAAAAATATTTTTCGAGCTGTATAAGCCTACTGCAACGCGTAAACCGCTGATTTCGAATATCTAAACGAAGAGTTTTTTCTCGAATCTGACATCAAATTCGTTTTTTGTAGGTCTGAATTGGAGTCTCTGAACTTTTTGGGAATTTTAGGTCAATCATGAAAAAATTATTTTTTGACCAGTATAAGCCTACTGCATCGCGTGACCCGCTGATTTTGAAAATCTAGGAAAAGGGTTCTTTTTCAAATCTGACATCGAATTGTTCATTATGGGTCTGAATTAGTGTCTATGAATTTATTGGGATTGTTAGGTCAATCAGGAAAAAAATATTTTTCGACCAGTATAAGCCTACTGCATCCGGTGACCCGCTGATTTTGAAAATCTAGGGAAAGGGTTCTTTTTCAAATCTGACATCGAATTCGTTCATTATGGGTCTGAATTGGTGTCTATGAATCATTTGGGATCTTCAGGTCAATCATGAAGAAATTATTTTTCGACCAGTATAAGCCTACTGCATCGCGTAAACCGCTGATTTTGAAAATCTAAACGAAGAGTTTTTTCTCGAATCTGACATCAAATTCGTTCATTATGGGTCTGAACTCTGAATTAGTGTCTTTGAATTTTTTGGGATTTTTAGGTCAATCAGGAAAAAAATATTTTTCGAGCTGCGTATAAGTCTACTGCAACGCGTAAACCGCTGATTTCGAATATCTAAACGAAGAGTTTTTTCTCGAATCTGACATCAAATTCGTTCATTATGGGTCTGAATTAGTGTCTATGAATTTTTTGGGATTTTTAGGTCGATCAGGAAAAAAATATTTTTCGAGCTGTATAAGCCTACTGCAACGCGTAAACCGCTGATTTCGAATATCTAAACGAAGAGTTTTTTCTCGAATCTGACATCAAATTCGTTTTTTGTAGGTCTGAATTGGAGTCTCTGAACTTTTTGGGAATTTTAGGTCAATCATGAAAAAATTATTTTTTGACCAGTATAAGCCTACTGCATCGCGTGACCCGCTGATTTTGAAAATCTAGGGAAAGGGTTCTTTTTCAAATCTGACATCGAATTGTTCATTATGGGTCTAAATTAGTGTCTATGAATTTATTGGAATTGTTAGGTCAATCAGGAAAAAAATATTTTTCGACCAGTATAAGCCTACTGCATCGCGTGACTCGCTGATTTTGAAAATCTAGGGAAAGGGTTCTTTTTCAAATCTGACATCGAATTCGTTCATTATGGGTCTGAATTGGTGTCTATGAATCATTTGGGATCTTCAGGTCAATCATGAAGAAATTATTTTTCGACCAGTATAAGCCTACTGCATCGCGTAAACCGCTGATTTTGAAAATCTAAACGAAGAGTTTTTTCTCGAATCTGACATCAAATTCGTTCATTATGGGTCTGAATTAGTGTCTTTGAATTTTTTGGGATTTTTAGGTTTATCAGGAAAAAAATATTTTTCGAGCTGCGTATAAGCCTACTGCAACGCGTAAACCGCTGATTTCGAATATCTAAACGAAGAGTTTTTTCTCGAATCTGACATCAAATTCGTTCATTATGGGTCTGAATTAGTGTCTATGAATTTTTTGGGATTTTTAGGTCGATCAGGAAAAAAATATTTTTCGAGCTGTATAAGCCTACTGCAACGCTTAATCCGCTGATTTCGAATATCTAAACGAAGAGTTTTTTCTCGAATCTGACATCAAATTCGTTTTTTATAGGTCTGAATTGGAGTCTCTGAATTTTTTGGGATTTTTAGGGCAAACAACAAAAAAAAATTTTTCGAGCTGTATAAGCCTACTGCATCGTGCAAACCGCTGATTTTGAAAATCTAAACGAAGAGTTTCGTCTCGAATCTGACATCAAATTCGTTCTTTATGGGTCTGAATTGGTGACTAAGAATTTTTTGGGATTTTTAGGGCAATCAAGAAAAAAATATTTTTCGAGCTGTATAAGCCTACTGCATCGCGTAAACCGCTGATTCTGAAAATCTAAACGAAGAGTTTTTTCTCGAATCTGACATCAAATTCGTTCTTTATGGGTCTGAATTGGTGTCTATGAATTTTTTGGGATTTTTAGGTCAATCATGAAAAAATTATTTTTCGACCAGTACAAGACTGTATTCAAATATAATATTTATTAAAGCATGAGATATTATGGGTAGTAATGAGACTATAAGTAAACAACAATGAATATGAAGACCTAATAACAACGTACATTATGATTACCACTACGGCGAGTTCTTGTCAAGTCAAGGGTAGCCTCAAACGGTTTTGTAAATCTGTGACCAGACAAACTTCGGAACCCTCATGTCCAATATTCGATCATTATAGGTTGCACATTCCTCATGAGAGACCCTTCGTCAGTTTTCATAGTTCAGTGTCAACGGATGATTTGATTAACTCTCGGATTAACTAGATATTTATAAAACCCTAATGATTCAAACCCACTAAAATACCGTTTTATTAGACGCCATTAGAAGTATTGATGTAACACAGATGCACCAACATGATTTTCAACCAATTAGAGGTGGAGTTCACAAATAACAATCAGATTTCATCAAAATAAAGCCATTCAAGTATTCAAACTTCCATAATGTTGCTTTTACATTGGTAGAGGTTTTCAGGTTGGAAACTTGGAGCAAAGTCTCTCATTGATTGAGTAAGAGTTTCCTGGTGAAATAAATATAATGTCCATAATGTGATTGCAAATTATTGCATATGACAAAGTCCCTTTTTGCCCAAAGGGTCCATGCAAATTGAAAAATGATTTTTTCAAAATATTCGAAAAAAAAAATAGAATCTCTACAGAAATTATCAAATTTTTCATCATCCAAGCAATTACTTCGTGAGCGAGAAGGCTAGATTGTAGTTAATGTTAATTATTGACTTACCGTCCGCCTCCGCCTCCCGAAGAGGAGTTCGAATCGTTCCAGCGGCCGCCTCCTCCGCCGCCCCCCTGGCGCTCCGGTTCCTGCCAGCGGTCGTTGCGCGGCAAGTCACGCTCCCTGTCGTCGCGGTTACCGCCGCCTCCACGATTCCAATCCTCTCTGCGGCTAATAACAAAAAAATTATAATGACGAAACATGATTAGTTTCACCCTAGATAGATAGATAGATCGATAGATAGATAGATAGATAGATAGATAGATAGATAGATAGATAGATAGATAGATAGATAGATAGATAGATAGATAGATAGATAGATAGATAGATAGATAGATAGATAGATAGATAGATAGATAGATAGATAGATAGATAGATAGATAGATAGATAGATAGATAGATAGATAGATAGATAGATAGATAGATAGATAGATAGATAGATAGATAGATAGATAGATAGATAGATAGATAGATAGATAGATAGATAGATAGATAGATAGATAGATAGATAGATAGATAGATAGATAGATAGATAGATAGATAGATAGATAGATAGATAGATAGATAGATAGATAGATAGATAGATAGATAGATAGATAGATAGATAGATAGATAGATAGATAGATAGATAGATAGATAGATAGATAGATAGATAGATAGATAGATAGATAGATAGATAGATAGATAGATAGATAGATAGATAGATAGATAGATAGATAGATAGATAGATAGATAGATAGATAGATAGATAGATAGATAGATAGATAGATAGATAGATAGATAGATAGATAGATAGATAGATAGATAGATAGATAGATAGATAGATAGATAGATAGATAGATAGATAGATAGATAGATAGATAGATAGATAGATAGATAGATAGATAGATAGATAGATAGATAGATAGATAGATAGATAGATAGATAGATAGATAGATAGATAGATAGATAGATAGATAGATAGATAGATAGATAGATAGATAGATAGATAGATAGATAGATAGATAGATAGATAGATAGATAGATAGATAGATAGATAGATAGATAGATAGATAGATAGATAGATAGATAGATAGATAGATAGATAGATAGATAGATAGATAGATAGATAGATAGATAGATAGATAGATAGATAGATAGATAGATAGATAGATAGATAGATAGATAGATAGATAGATAGATAGATAGATAGATAGATAGATAGATAGATAGATAGATAGATAGATAGATAGATAGATAGATAGATAGATAGATAGATAGATAGATAGATAGATAGATAGATAGATAGATAGATAGATAGATAGATAGATAGATAGATAGATAGATAGATAGATAGATAGATAGATAGATAGATAGATAGATAGATAGATAGATAGATAGATAGATAGATAGATAGATAGATAGATAGATAGATAGATAGATAGATAGATAGATAGATAGATAGATAGATAGATAGATAGATAGATAGATAGATAGATAGATAGATAGATAGATAGATAGATAGATAGATAGATAGATAGATAGATAGATAGATAGATAGATAGATAGATAGATAGATAGATAGATAGATAGATAGATAGATAGATAGATAGATAGATAGATAGATAGATAGATAGATAGATAGATAGATAGATAGATAGATAGATAGATAGATAGATAGATAGATAGATAGATAGATAGATAGATAGATAGATAGATAGATAGATAGATAGATAGATAGATAGATAGATAGATAGATAGATAGATAGATAGATAGATAGATAGATAGATAGATAGATAGATAGATAGATAGATAGATAGATAGATAGATAGATAGATAGATAGATAGATAGATAGATAGATAGATAGATAGATAGATAGATAGATAGATAGATAGATAGATAGATAGATAGATAGATAGATAGATAGATAGATAGATAGATAGATAGATAGATAGATAGATAGACAGACAGCAGACAGACAGCAGACAGACAGCAGACAGACAGCAGACAGACATACAGCAGGCAGACAGACAGCAGACAGACAGATAGCAGGCAGGCAGACAGCATAAAGACAGCATACAGACAGCAGACAGACAGCAGACAGACAGCAGACAGACAGCAGACAGACAGCAGACAGACAGCAGACAGACAGCAGACAGACAGCAGACAGACAGCAGACAGACAGCAGACAGACAGCAGACAGACAGCAGACAGACAGACAGCAGACAGACAGCAGGCAGACAGACAGCAGGCAGACAGATAGCAGGCAGGCAGACAGCATAAAGACAGCATACAGACAGCAGACAGACAGACAGACAGACAGACAGACAGACAGACAGACAGACAGACAGACAGACAGACAGACAGACAGACAGACAGACAGACAGACAGACAGACAGACATACAGCATACAGACAGCATACAGACAGCATACAGACAGCATACAGACAGCATACAGACAGCATACAGACAGCATACAGACAGCATACAGACAGACAGACAGCAGACGACAGCAGACAGACAGACAGACAGACAGACAGACAGACAGACAGACAGACAGACAGACAGACAGACAGATAGACAGACAGACAGACAGACAGACAGACAGACAGACAGACAGACAGACAGACAGACAGACAGACAGACAGACATTACACCTTCATTAACACTCAACACAATGTATTCTTTACAACGCTTCAAATAAGAATGAATCAACCTAAAATGCCTCCTGATCGGATACAGTCATTTGTAGATAGGTGACTAAACCTTATGTAACCACTAACTGTAGCTCTGTGCTTCTAATGGTACAGGGCGTCCGGCATCCGGCTAGTCGCTAACATCATGTTACTCTGTCCAATGTTCGTAATTTTTGACTGTCATCTGTGTACATTTTTGTACTGTGATGTCATTTGTAGAATTGTAGCTGTTTTTTTTGCTATTTTGATCTTATATTTCAATTACTCTGCAGTGTTTTATGAGATTTTAAATAAATAAATAGTGGGAGAAGTAGAAAAAGGCACAGAAACACCAAGAATACAAATGTTGCATGTCAACATTGTATGTCCCCTATGTACTCACCCGTCATAAGAGTCGCCATTTTGGTCCCTCCTGCCCCTGGTGTTGAAGCTGGAGAAGTCGCCTCCTCGGCTGTCCCTGCTCCCGCCGTCCCTACCACCGCCGTCCCTATCCCTGTTGCTGTAGTTTCCTCTACCCCCTCTACCACCCCCTGATCCTTAAATCGAATCAATATCTGATTATGGAATATCGACAATAACGCTTCGGGAATCTCGAAAGTTCTTCGATATCGGAAAATGATTAAAACCTCGAGTCAGGGGTGTAATATTTTTTTTACGCCGGCGGGAGTTGAAGTTAGTTTCACTGGTAACGAAAGAGTGGCAGAAGTCTCGTATTATTCCCTAGAGAGAGAATGTGACATATTTTCTCCCTAGAGAGTTTATACCCACTTTACATTTTCCGCATAGCTCTGCGCTTTCTTTTCGGAACTCCCTTCTCTGAAGCGAGTATAAGCTGCATCATACAGTAAGAATCACTGCAGAAGCATTATCAATAGTTTCTTGGGGTTTTCCCTCGTTTTCTTGTTTCATAACCGTTAATCATTCTCAAAGCTGTTTTCAAAATAAATTTCAATTTGATATTTGCTGCTGCTTTACTGCTACTAATTATGACAAAACACTTTGACCAAATTTTTATTCTTTCCTAATTCTTGTGTTTACGCCAGCGTAAAAAATAGTACATACACCTCAGGACAGAATGCTATTTTTCCCTCGGTGCTTTGTATCTCTCGTGCTTCGCCCTCGAGCTACAAATCACACCTTGAAAAAGATCTTTCAATTCTGTTCCTTGATGTATAATGTACTATTTTCCACCACTAGCTATAAAACCTACCATTATCTACTCTTTTTGGATTTATTTCTGAATGTTTTACAATAAATAAGGCCTTTCAAGCCAGTTCAGCACTATTTTTTATATTCCAAGCATATAACTACTTCAGAATTTCATTTATTGACGTTTGAAGAAAAAATATTGTTTGCTACTCATGCGCGAAAAACTTTGGTGATCTCGACTATTTTTCCAACACAGCTGCGCCTCGTTAAAAAAAATCAGTGCTCACAACTTCATTGCTGAGGTAGTCTGAATATAAGATTTATTTGATATAACTGAAAAGACAATCAAAATGACAATTTCAAGAGTTTTATAGCCTGTTTTTTCAAGGGTCCAATGATAAAAAAATTGACTAAATCAGAAATATAAACTATAGTGAGTCTCACTTTAAAATGATATTAGGAGGAAAAATCTTTTTTACTCCTTCTTCTTGCTCCCGTCCTGAAAAGTGTAAACTCGAAAAAAAAATCCAGAGGTTTGTCTTGGCCTCTTTCCCATGAATATTTGTATCCGAGACCTGTGTGACAAATGGTTTCTGGGATGCACGAATTCAATATGACCAGAAATGAAACCGTGAAATAGGATGTTATAAAACGAATCTCTCAACAAATAATCCTTGTGGTGAGGATTGAATCCTTATTTTTGGTTAATCGAAAAAAATACCGTCATATACTGTGAAGGCATTTACTGTTGGGGCCGATAGTGATTCATTATTTCAATAAAGTTTTTCAGGATCGGCCGAGAGCTTCGCTTACGTTGAAATACGATTGGGAACTTCAGAAATATTAGTTATTCAATAATTCATGAATTCTCAATTATGTATTGGTAATATTCCTATTTAGAAATACAAAATCAAGTGTCTCAAAATGCCCCCTTATGATTTGTGGTTTAGTGCTTATAATAAATTTGTGTGAATAGTAATAATTATACTAATTCAAACTAGAGGACATTTGCAGCGGTAAACGTGACAACACGATGTACGAATTGTGGGCATGGTCTTGTCAGGATTTAGCACAATGTTGCCAAGTCTCCAACATTCACATGATATTTTGTTATGGAGTATAAGGAATATTTGAACATGCTGGTTGCAAGAATGAACTATAATATCATGGGTTCCTCCTATTATGTTTTATTCAATGACAGGACTCCTACATATTTTTGATATCAAATCAAAATATGCTTCATTATCACTTTAGAATGTAATCCTTGTAAACAAAGCTTTGTATGTTGTTAAAATAAAATAATAATAATAATAATGTAATGTATACAACAAATATTAACATAAATACATTTTTTCACAAACATGTGCACACATAAGGCTCGTCTAAAATACTTGTTTATAAAAATCCTCAACATTATAGAACGCATAAGGGACTAACAAGTTTTTCAATACCTTTCTGAATTTTTTCATATCAGAGGTAGATTTAACTATAGTTGGAAGATGATTGTACATTTTCAGGTCATTATATTATATTATGGAATCTTTTATTAGTGAACTGCAGGGCCGGGGAAGCTTTACCATGTCTGGCTGGCGTGTGTTGTAAAAAGTTTCCATGACTAAGTAATTATCTCTGGTTTTGTGAATCAAACACCACCCACCCACTCTATAATGAACAAGGATACTACTGTTAATATTCTGTGCTCCCTGAATAGCTTTTTACAAGAGGTTCTTGGATTTAATTTGCATATATATCTTAAGATAACTTGATTATAATTGGAGACTTGACAACCTTGCTTTGTGAGTGGCAGCATAAAAACTGACGTCAAATGGCGTCCATGACGGTACGTTTGAAATGAGCTCTAAAATTCAACAATTTTGAACAACGCATTATTTACATAAAAAGAGCGTGGGATTTATTGCAAAAATTAATTTAGGTTTCTAACGACAGAGTGGAGTAAATGAATGGCATTAAAATAAATAAATAAATATCTTTATTTTCCTTTAGACTTTCTAAAAAAGTATAGGAATAGTTAGTTCACTCGCCCATTATAGCCGCTTCACAGTGTTTGCAAAATCTTACCTCCTCCGCCTCCTCTGTTGTCCCTGTCGTAGCCGGAAGAGCCCCCTCCACCGGTGCCCTCCGAGTGCTCTTGCTGCTGTTGGGGTTTGTTGCGCAGGTGAGGGGGCACGTAGCGGCCGCTTGAGCTGCGACTCTGCAAGTCCAGACCAGCAAACTGCCGGAAAAATTTTAGAAAATGCACTCCCTTGGCTGGATTTGGTAATTTTGCACTTATCATGTGTTTTTTTTTTTGTTTTTATGTTCTGGTTCCCACGAAAAGGGATATCCTGTAATGTTCAGAGAACATCGTGAGAACCAAGGGAAATAAGGTAGGAATTAGTGTTCTTCTTGAATTTCTGGAGGTTATATGCCTCGGGGAACACCTCCTTTGGCAATGTGTTCCAGAGCCTCGCTGTTCGTTGGATGAACGAGTCTTTGGAAAGAGATTTTCTGCAGGTCTCCAAAGTGACTACGAAGGGGTGCGAAGCCTCAACTCGACGGGTTAATCTCGCGGGGACTGCCAAGGGAGGAACAGTTGTTGATATTTCAGAAGAGCATCGTCCATGAAAATATCTATAAAATAGAGCCAGATTGCCAACTTTTCTAGGGTGTTCCAGAGAAGTGAGTGAGTTCGTGAGCGAGGCATCACCCACGAGACGAATTGCCCTCTTTTGGACTGAATCCAACAGTTTCAGGGTATGTTTTGGTGCTGCACTCCAAATATGGGGACAGTATTCCAGGACAGGTCGGATCTGTGCCTTATAGATCATAAGCAGCTGACTGGAAGTGAAATAGCTCCTGAACGGAAACAGAAAATCAAGTTTTTGGGATGTACTTTTAGTAATTGATCTCACGTGATTTTCCCAAGAAATCTTGAAGTTGAAAAATCTCGATTTTGAACACCCTATATCTCTGTAATCATTTCCACCCCAAGTTTGATGTATGGATGAAATCAGCTCTTCACATTTTCATTAATGAATTCGTGTCAGACAAAAATACGTAGGAACACATTTTTCAAAAACAAAACCATCACATGATAAGTGCAGAATTACCCTGGATTTTCATTCTATGGATTTATCGAGGGATTTATGGATTTTTTGCTGATACCAATATACTAAATCAATAAATGAGCAAATCTAGGCTCTGGAATTCATTGCCTGAGGAAGTATTCCCAACAACATAATATAATCTCCAGAAGTTCAAAAAATTTCCAATACCTACCTCCTCTCCCTATCCTCCTTAGGAACGCACGATGTTCTTTGAACATTATAGGGATTTCCTTTCGTGCGCTCCAAGCGATAAAAAAAAATTAAACAAAATTCTAACAAAATAGCAGATAATCTGGAATAACAGGAGAGATAATGGGGTGAATCCAAAAGAGAAAAAAGATATAATGTCACTTCTAACTTGATATGGCAACTATTACACTCTACAGGGTATTACAAATTTCATGAAAAAACCACCCTATAATTGCTCCACCCGGTATGTATAAAAAAGAGGTTTTTATGCAAAAATTGTTTACACACCAATGTTCAGAAAAAGATAACCTGTCATTCAAAACAAAAAACGTCTAAATCGGACAAGTAGTTTTGGATCTCAAACTCAAGGTTTGACGAAATATATCAATAATTTCATTGAAATCGATTTGAATATTACGATGAATACCTACTCATCAGAGCTAAACTTGTAGTATGCACATCCGTCGAATGATTTCTCAGATAAGATTTACTCTCTTCAAAGTTGAAAATCTCTTGTTCTTTTATTTCAGGACGTTGTGCAATAATAACGTTTGTCGCCGCTGTTGCCAGCGTTGTATAAATTTCCTTATGTGAGTACGTACAACTCGGTAATTTCTGAATTCACTTAGGTTACTTTCTTATTGAATGGAATTTCGGGAGAAGGAAGGGGGCTGCCCCCTCTAGCTACGCCACTGATCAGTGGTCCTTAATGAAGTAATGAGAAGGTGGTGAGCACTTCTGATTTCATGGATGCACCTAGTTTTTCTCTATCTGCCAGAGGGAGAATTTTGATGTTGAAATGAACACAAAAATGTTGAATGTGCACTTTTCACTGGTTGTCGGCCATATTTCGCCTGTTACCGACCGACATTGTACCCCTTCTCGGCCGATATTTATTCGCCTTAATATCAGGTTCCTGGCCAATAATTAATGTAATACATACTGCGTGTAAAAAAAATAAAACTCTTGATTTTGGTGGCCGAGAACCAGATAGTCAATTATTTCTATTCTGCTGTATGAATATGAAGCAAACTGAAAGACACATAGGTACCCATTCAATTAATGGTGGAAAGAGATATCAAATAAAAAATGCTTTCCTCCTGTTGTCGGTCACCATGGCCGAGAAAGGGATTTTTAGAATTTTCTCATACTTCAAACCATAAGTTTTTGACTAGGTATCTAAGTAGGTATCATGAAATATAATACCCATGCCTCACTCAAGTAATGTTCTGTAATGTAAGTATAGGCATTATTTCCGAGACACCCCTTTCACTAGTATTTTTTCTGCAAAATTCTGTATTCACCGGCATACGATATGAACGCGGCGATTACTTATTTTATAATAATTCACTAGTTTGTCACCAGGGGTACGGCGCTATGTGGTTTGGTTGGGAGAACCTTGACGAGAATGGTGATTTTTATATTTTGTTCACTATTATGGGCAATACCAGTAGTGGCCGGCTAACCACCTATTTCACCTTATAATATTACATTTTGATTAATGATTCCATCATTACCCACAGGAATTACACAGGGGGTTTTTGTTTTTCTAATTCTTTCAATTAACGAGATAATTCCTCCCGAAAATTGAACAAAAAACGGGGAAAATATCAAGTACACCACTTCAAAACAATTTCAATGATTGAACTCCTTGTGATTGTGCCTTTCACTTGAAAAAAAAAACAGAGAAACAGAGGTGATGTCAGAATTGCTAGTGTAGAACTTTGGGTGGAAAAAGGACTCACCCCAAATTTCATTTTCATCCCTATATTTTTCATTAGTGCCATTCCATGGAGCTTTCTCAGGGGTTGAAATATTTGCACCTATTTCAGTGCCACCCATATATTATTTTAAAGATAAAAAAAAGTTAATTTTGGGTGTACCTATCATAGTTAATGAAATTTAAGTTAGGATTAATTCCATCAATTAAGATTTCTATTTGCATATATTGTGAAACTTTTTGTTCTACAATTTTCATCTACAAGAATTTACTATATAAATATGTATATAGACAGATACTTTATTCATTTTCCATGGAAAATATTCACAGCTGAAATATACAAGCACATAAAAAACACTCAATATAAAACAATAGATTCCTATTGATATCACAAACATAAATATAAATACATAAATGGTCTGAAATATTCAGTTTTATTGGTTGTAGACTTAGACATACTCAGGAGAATATCAGTAAATGAATATTTTATCATTGATGGTAATAAGTTTCTCTTGCTGTTCAAGTACACAAGCAATTGAACTTCCTTTTGAATTCTTATACAAATATGCATTTCACATACATGAAAGTTGCTGAATTTGAGCTATTGAAAATTTCAGGAACAAACTACAAGTTTTGGCAGCACCTTACAGAGAATGCAATCAAAATCAATGAAGAAAAAGTGCTTAGTGTAACTCATGTAAAAGCTGTTTTGTATATTAAGTATTCAAATTATCAGTAGGGAGGTACCTATGTATTTTCTGAAAAATAAATGTCACTGCTTCTATTGAAAAATTCTATGAAAAATTGAAAAAGCATATATTATGTACTATGTACTCATGGTATATCAATATGAGGAATTTATAATTAAACAGTACAAAGCATCCACAACATTTGAAAAGGATGTCACCTGAGATGTTACATTGCTGATATCATCATCATCTAAATAGTGTAATATTATGAAATTAGTCAGTACAATAATACAACACATAACAATACCTATCTCATTTCAAACTTTCTCTACATTTTGTCAATAGTATAAGCTTTTATACTGGCTTTTATAGGAAAAACTGATGTATCAGCATTTCATCTATGATGATAAAACCACAGAAAAAAGTGTGTCAATTATTTAATAATGCCATTCATCAGCAAAATACTGTCAATCATGTTGATGTCTAATAACAAATAAAATTAATATTCATGAAAACTACCCAATCCTCAACGTTTTTTTACGTAATTCACTCGGTAATTCAGCTCCTATAATCCAGTTATCAAAAATATCATCTTGTGGGAAGAGAAACATTGCAACACTTGCAACATACATATTTCTTTGTTATTTTTGGCTAGCAGTTGAAAAACATCCTACTGCTCCTAGAGCTTGGATAATATGCTAAATACGGATTTCTAGTGATTTTCACAACAAATTGTGATAATTTACAATTAACAATATGAAATTTTCACCATGAAAAGACGATCGATAGAGGAAGAATTTACGACCTCCATTACCAGGGCTTCCGGGTCATCGAAACGTGGTAAAATCAAGAAATTTTTGCAGAATCGCACTCACCTGCTGCTCTAGACCTGATCCATTTTCGTTGGGTGCATTACTCATATTACAACAATTCAGTACGTGTGATAGAAGTTTCTCAATGCCAAAACTTCTAGTGTATAATTTAGGAAAAAGCGTCTCTGAAAAATCACAAAAGACGTGCGCTCGTTCGCGACACCACACTTGAAACGTCACTGAGTTTGAGTTTGCGTTTGCGTATACGATTGGGATGCGCAAGCGCGAATTAGTTCTTCTTTTTCTTCTCCTTCTTATTCTTCTTCTCTTCTACGTCTCATAGCCTTTTATCCAGCCAGGCTCTACTTCTTTATCTTCTTCTTTTTATTTTCTTTCTCTTGACATTCATCTAATTATTTTCTCACAGTGAAAATTTGGCAAAATTTATCTCGAAGATTACCGACAGTTAAGTCCTCGATTCATTCTTGGGAACGAATATTTTTTTTAGCGATCGCATTTTGCAGCCAGCTTTTAGTTGTTAACTTCAGTTTAAACAATGCTGCCAAGTCTGCAACTAAGCAAAGAATCCTCCAAGAAATTTTGCATAGTGATTTTTATCATTTTGTATGAATATTTGTATGAGAAATTATTTCAATCCCTCGTCATGCCTCGTATAAAATTATGAAATCATTTATTTTTTATAAATTTCCACTTGCCAAGAGCAAGTGAAAGGTGACGTATTTACTATTTACAGTATTTGTTCTGAACAGTTCTGAAAAATCCCATATTTCAAAAACTGGCACTGGCAAGTGGCAAGTTGGCAACCCTGTATCCCTAAATAAATCCTTCATTTCAGTGTTGTCAGGTAAGGTTGATGTTTTTCTTGTTCATTGATGAAAATCTTAACTAATTTCTAGTCATCTTCAATTAATTTATAGGCAAACTCAATAAATAGTTCATGATGTATTCGCTGTGTATAATATTTATGCCAGAAGGACACTTTTATAGAAAAAAAATTCTAAATGTACAAAGTTAGGTTATGTATGTTGGATCACTATTTTTGTAATTTGTATCTTGTATCATTCCAGATATCAGACCCTAAAGATGGGTCGTGTAATTCGTGCTCAGCGTAAGGGAGCGGGATCCGTCTTCAAATCCCACACAAAAAGGAGGAAGGGAGCGCCGAAACTGCGTTACCTTGACTTCTCCGAAAGACATGGCTACATCAAGGGGGTAGTTAAAGAAATCATGCATGACCCTGGTCGTGGTGCCCCCTTAGCAATGGTACACTTCAAGGACCCCTACAAGTTCCAAACTAGGAAAGAATTGTTCATTGCCCCAGAAGGAATGTACACTGGCCAGTTTCTGTACTGTGGAAAGAAAGCCAGTCTTCAAATTGGTAAGTCAATATGTTGGTCTAAATCAAGATTTTTGCTATTCACATGATGATTTCTAGAATTATGATTACCTACTTGGTGAATAATGTTCCTAGAGGCTCTTTCTGAAGATTTATCTTTTTTAAGTCCATGCTGTTTCAGTTTACATGGGAACTACAATGTTGGTATTTCTTTTAGGTAATGTTTTGCCTGTTGGTACCATGCCTGAAGGTACTATTGTGTGTAATTTAGAAGAAAAGACTGGTGATCGTGGTCGATTGGCTAGGGCATCTGGTAATTATGCCACTGTCATTGCCCACAATCATGATACAAAGAAGACCAGAGTCAAGCTACCTTCTGGTGCTAAGAAAATTATTCCCTCCAACAACAGGGCTATGGTTGGTGAGTGAATTTTCTGTATTATTTTCTGATGGCATCTTTCTGCATTCATCATGATGATTTCTAGATTTCTTATTACCTACTTGGTGATGATATTCTTCTAGAGGCTCTTTCTGATCCATCCCATTGAAATTTCTATTCACTAGGTCATCATATACACATCTATAATATTTTTTCCTGTATCTAGGTATTGTAGCTGGTGGTGGTCGTATTGACAAACCCATCCTGAAAGCCGGTCGTGCCTACCACAAATACAAGGTGAAGCGTAACTGCTGGCCTAAGGTGCGTGGTGTGGCCATGAACCCTGTGGAGCATCCTCACGGAGGTGGTAACCACCAGCATATTGGTAAGGCTTCCACTGTCAAGAGGGGCACTTCAGCCGGTAGAAAAGTCGGTCTTATTGCTGCCCGTAGGACGGGTAGGATTCGTGGAGGCAAAGTGGAGACAAAGAAGGATGATTAGGGGATTGAAGAGGGATCAGTGTATTTCTTGCAGGCCATTTTTATTGACTGGATTTTTGTGGATTGTTGGAAATATATTGATTGGAAATTGTAAATATATTGTATTTTTGATTATTTTCCGTTTTCCTTGTCCCTTTTCTATGAGTGCCTGAAGTCATATAGGAATAATCTAAGAGTAGTGCAGATATATCTCTGAATATGATATGATTGGCAAGAAATGGGAATATCCTAAAAAAATGATTGGAAATACAGGCTCTATGATGAGATTAAAGCACAAGTTAAAAATACATGGTAGCTCAAATGTTTCTCTAAGCTAAGGAGAGGATTGACTAGCATCCCTTGTTGATGGAAGGCTATCCTCCATATGGCATGGTTATAATTGTTATAATATATTATGAAATAGGTAATTTTAGTACTCTTATTTATTTCAGAAAAACTACTTATTTGCAAACACGCAATATTCAATCAGTTTATTGTCAAAACGGATAAAAACTTATATGACTAGAACACGTGCCATTGTCGATCTGAATGGAATCTTAGTGGGCGACAGTACGCGACGAGCGGAGGTATGTTGTTGGTTTTAGTATCATGAATTCTCTCCATCCTTATCATGAAAGGTGGATAGTTGGCTTGGCTGCGAACTGCGAATAAACGTTTCAAATCCATCCAGTATTATGCTCCTTCACCGAGATTTGTAGAGATGGCGCCACCAAGAAAGTGATCAGTACCACCAACCCTGGAAAACCGAAAAAAGGTATTGATTGATTTAGTTAGGTTATGGCGTACATTTTTGCTTACTGGATTATTTTTATAAAAATGATATATCTATAGCTGAAAAAGTATAGTTATGAACCTCAAGGCACTGGCTCAAGAGAAGAATGGAGAGCTAGGATTGCTAGGAACTCCAAAATATAGGGATTAAGTATGCTTCCCTGAATAGCCAATGTCTGGAAATGGTGATATTTCTTTCATGATTCGCCTTGGAAAACTATATAGCATTTATTTCAGGATCGATCTACTAAATTAATAACTATATCTGTAGCTGCCTTTATTTGCTACTGTAATACATTATTGGGAACCTTCGTTTTTGATGATTCAGAAGCCATTGTCAAAAACAAAGATGTTATGCCCTACACACCTATCCTCAATATTTTCAAAAATGATTTTTGGGGCACAGATATCACATTGAACAGTAGCCATAAATCTTACAGGCCTCTAACCATACTATCATACAGGTAATTTCAAAGTTTATTATCACTATCTTTATATGAGGATGGTTTGAAAAAAATTGTTTTAGGTTGAATGTTTTGTATTCCAACAAGAAATTGGATGCTTTCCAATTCCATGCTACAAACGTCATACTGTATGGGCTGTTATGCCTTCTATCTGTCCCAGTTTTTGAGCTTTTCCTAAAAAAATCCAAATATGCAATGAACATCCATGACATAGCTTATTACTCTAGCCTCCTTTTCACTGTACATCCTGTACATACTGAAGTGGTTGCTGGTCTTGTAGGTAGAGCAGATATTCTGAGCTCTGTGTTGTTTTTTATTGTGATTTTATTGTACCAGAAAGTTAGAACTTCAAATGGGGAAACAGCTGTTGTTTGGTTTGTAATAAGCATGGTTTTGACTGGTTGTGCAGTATTATTCAAAGAAACTGCAATATCAGTATTGGTAAGTGAATATAAATATCCAATTTACAGTGACATTACAAAAACAACATTCTTATACTTGAGCCTGCTTCTTTTATTTTGCATGGGTGGTATTTTGAAAATATTTATTTCAGTGTGTTTCACATTACCTTATGGGTTACAGAATGTAGAAAAATTGAATTTTCCAAGAAATTTTCATTGAATTAATTCTACACCTACACCCACTTTTTCTGTGCTTATACTGTTATTCCCATTTTTTTATAGGGTCTATTGATAGTCTATGATATTTATCGCCAGAAAAAGAAGTCCACTTCATGGGGTGAAATATTCAGTTTTTGGTTGATAGTCAGGTCCATGGCAATAATTTTGTGTGGCTTAGCAATCATGTACTATCGTTTCAGCATCATGAATTTTGAAGGTCCCATTTTTACCAGCAATGATAACCCAGCTGGATATGCTCAACATTTTTTCACAAGGGTATATTGGTTTATTGTATAAATATGTTATTCTGATCATGAAGTTTTTAGGTCTTCACATATAATTACATTTATTTATTAAACTTCTTATTGCTCATATGGCCAGAATGGTTGTGTTTTGACTGGTCAATGGGTTGTATACCCTTGATAGAGTCAGCTTGGGACATCCGGGCATATTTTGTTATCTCTTTCTGGCTGATGAGCATTTATTTGCTATATGCCTTGATGAAAAAGAACTATCAAAATGATATTCTGTAGGTATCTTGAATCCTTGAAAAGTACCTAACACTGATGGTGTATACATTTTTAGAGATGCTCGTGTTATGGGTGTTAGTCTGATCGTCCTACCATTTTTACCAGCATCAAACTTACTCTTCACTGTCGGATTTGTGATAGCAGAAAGGACTCTGCTGCTGCCAAGTGCAGGATTTTGCTTTCTAGTCATAATAGGTTTTAGAAAACTTCAACAAAACAGTGACAATAAAAAGGTACAACCATATTTTCTATTTTGACTTGCTAATAACATTTTTCATTCAAGATCTATTCAATATTTTTCTATACTTTACTCCTGATATTTACTCTACGAACGATTTTGAGAAACATGAGTTGGCTGACTGAAGAAAAATTGTTTGCATCTGCTCTTGATGTTTGTCCATTGAATGCTAAAGTTCATTACAATATAGCTAAAATTGCTGCCGATAATAGCAACAAAGAACTGGCATCAGTTAAGTACAAGAGGGCTATAGAACTGAACCCCAACTATGAGCAAGCAATGAATAATTTGGCGAATTTGCTACGAGAGGACAAAAAATTTGAAGAGGCAGAGGTTCTACTAAGAAGGGCTTTAACTGTTAGGTAAACATATCAGAATTGATTACCTTTATACTAGAAACATAAGAAATTTCACTCATTATATATTATACATGCATGGTGTACCTAAAAGGTCTGTACAAAATCTCAGCACATATTCCTTAGGTCAAGCTGATTTCAAGCCTCACCTCACCCCAAAATCACTCCGTTTTCGAGTTACGGGGTGGCGAAGTTGAAAAACAAAAATCGAATTTTCAAAATTTATGAAATTTTTTTTCTGAATATTTTCTTTTTGGGAAACCCTTTATTGTTTATTTTATTATTCCTTCCAATTCTGCATATATAAATAAAGGAAAATCATTCTGGATATAAATTGGACTTGATCTGCCTAGTATATAGTGACTGATGATAATTCATTGATTAAAAGTTTTATCATCTTTTATTTTCAGACCAAATTTTGCAGCAGCATGGATGAACCTTGCTATAGTACTGACGAATTTGAACAGAACTGAAGAAGCTGAACATTGCTACAAAACGGCAATCAAGCATAGAAAAAAGTACCCTGATTGTTTTTACAATTTAGGAAACTTGGTAATGTTGACATTGATTATTTTTTTAACCCAGAGGAGTATTACAATAAGAATAAAACATCGTATATATGTTCATACCATTTACAATAACTCATGTTGTAACTATTTTTTGAATATTTTGCGTACTATAGACAAGAGAGTTTCCAGCAAACAATTTTGGTCCTTCTTATGCTCGCTACAATTGACCAGAACGGCAAAATTCCTGTGAACATTGATGGGTCAGTACCAATAGGAGACTTTGGCCGTCATCAGGGCCAGCACCAGTACATTCAAATTAAAAAAAGACAACCGCCACGGGATTCGAACCCCGGTCCTCTGCTATTACTTGGTTTACAATTGAACTTATTCCAACTGACCTACCACACCATTATTGATATTATGATATGTGTGTATACGGAATTTATTTGCGGTTAACTTCTGAATAGGAATATTTCATTAATAATAATAATTATCATAACAGATATATACAAACGATGAACAAGGAAGAACATCGTTTCTCCGATTGACTACCGAATTTCCGTCATACCTATTTAATGGAACAGACGACTTGCCTTCTTTTATGGCCGAATTTGATGACCTCTATGATAATATTCAAATACAATGAATAAACATCAGTAGTATGGTAGTAGTATATGTACTTGGGTTGATTTGTATATACATACCAACTGGCCATCGACGAGAGGTCCTTCAGCTCATGAGTGTTCTGTGTAGGCTTTGTTAATAACCCCATATGCCACCTTAGGAGCAGCACTGTTAATTGAAACGCAACAGCGAATCATCTCCGGTCGAGGCTACGAAAATTATAATGTATAATTCGTTTTATAAATAAGAGTTCATTGCTCTTCCGGGGATCCGAACCTAGCAACCTTTCTGTTTTCTGATTACTAGTCGAGCTCCTCAACCACTGCGCTATTTCGCCGTCTTGTAAATCAGATTTGTCAACTGAAACATAATCATACTCTATTTGGCACAGCCAGAAGGAGGCCAGAGATTGACGATTAAATGATGTATACTGACTAAGCTTGCCGAATTTGTTTGACTGGTATTGCTAGTGATAAAATAATAATGGAGATTCCTGAAGAGCATTCTTCCAATATTTTTAATTCTGTGAACTTTGGATGAAGTACCTATCTATAGAAAAGTGCATGGTCGCCCACTTTTCTGTAGTCTTCCAATAATTTCAAAAAATTAGTGAGTGTGACATCACTATAAGTAGGTGAATGGCTTATGTCTGAATGGAATTTAAGAGCATCAGCATTTTTTTGGGTGCTGAATAACCTCCTATATGGGAACAATTGTCTGAAACGAGTCAGATCTGTGCTATATGTAGATCATAAAAGAAGCTGCCATCAGATGTAAAGAAGCATGTTACTTGGAATAAAAATTTTACTGATGGTGGATGTGAATGTACTATTTTGCAGTATTTAGATATGAAGAGGAACGAAGATGCTCTGAAGGCATGGGAAATGGCTGTATTGTATCGGCCCAGTCATACCGCCGCATGGAGTAACACACTAGTGCTACTTGACAGCCTGAAAAAGTTTGAGGAGGTGCTAGAGTTGGGCAGAACAGCTCTGATGCACAATCCCAAGAGTGCAGCTTTACACTTCACATTCGCAAATTCCCTTGGGAAAATGCAGCAGTATGAGAAAGCGGAAGGACACTTTTTGGAAGCTATACTTTTAAATCCGGAAAATGCACTGTACTATTCCAATTTAGGTACGGCACATTTTCTGATGACGTCATTTCTTCAAAATTAATTTTCAAATGTTCCTAGGTGTTTTGTATCATAGATGGGGTAAAATTTTGAAGGCCAGGGAAATGTACAAAAAGGCTCTACAAATCGACCCCTACTCAAAATCTGCGGTGCTGAATCTCAAGAAACTATCCAAGGCTCAAGATAGGCAATAAAATACAAAACACTCTCTTTTATTTATTTACTTCTTGTGATTATCTTTCTATATATTATTTATTGACAATGTTACTTCAATAAATATGCTAGTCATTTTTATTGAATCATTACTGACATCAACTCACATCACATGCAAGCCAAGAAAAATAATACATTTTGATATGGTTTTCTAACTAATAATTTTATCATAGCCGAAAAATCACCAACTGATTTAGTTTCTCTCAACTAAAACTATAAATTATCACAATATAATGGAAGTATGGTGCATGAAAAATAATAAATTTTCATATAAATAATAAATAATATCACAAAGAATCGTTGATACAACTAACAATTTTTCAGGCCGATACTACAAGACACATATTGTTTATATCATATATCTAATCGGGAACTATTAACAAATCTATTCAGATTTGCAGACAACAGCAGACATCTCCACAATCTTGAAAATGTGTCATAATGAACTATTCTTTTTAGGATTTAAATTCAGAGAGTCAGAAAAAAAAGGTGTTCTTGGAATAAGATTATCATTGGCAACCTTTACTCAACATTATGGAGATGTCTGATATCCATTATATTTCAAGATTGGCAAGAATTTTTGTGAAGAAGATGAAATAAATAGGTGAAAATGAACATGACTATGGAAATAATGATTTCCCAATTATTGTTATTTGACAAAACCTAGTACCTACTAATCCCTTGCATAATTTTGAATTTTTCCTCATATCTCCACAGTTGGTTGTTTGAGTGATGAAATATTTAGACTAGAATAAAGAACAACCATGATCTCATTTAACTTTTGCGGGAAGTTTCAGTTTTGTTCCAAGTCTGTGATAGAACACATTATTGTAGTCATCAAATTTCAATACATTTACAATTATGAGCAACCAAATTCACAGGAGCTGCCTGATATTGATATGTCCTACATTTTATTACTGAGCTATACACAGTGATCCAAAATTGTCTACTGATAAATTTCTGGAGCTTATAGTATATCCCAAAACAGAACTCATTTTCAAAAACAGATATTGAAGGAGAAATACCATTTTGAAGTAGGGGATGAAAAATGTAATAATGAGTGGTGATAAATGGTCTGAAATTTTTTGTTTCCCCTCAAAGGATATCTCCATCATTATCAATTTTTGCAAATAAGTGTATAACACATAAATGAGATTCCATTTTCTGAAAAGAATAATGCTGAAAGAATGAATATTGCATCCTGGCCAAGCTTTTACAAAAATATTCCTTATTTTTATTCCAAAATAAATTAATTATTTTGTTCTGACCACCCTAAGTAATACTGAGTATTGGAGAGGAGATTATCAGGGTTTATCATTCATTTACAGGAAAAATTTCACAATAATTTACAGATCGTCTGGGGTTCAAAAAAATGAATACAATTTACCATTCTGGAGAGTGTGAGTGCATATTCAGCTTTTGCTTGTGCCAGGCTGGTCTCTTGGGTCATCTGTCACTTTATCTGTTGTGGTTAGTGTCTGAAGTTTTGTAGACAGATCAGAACTTGTTACATGAGCATGTTGCCCTAAAAATGTTCAAGAAATGATTGTCAGATTGGAAATATAATTCTTATATTCATTCGAAAAGCAGCAAATTCAAACAATAGATATTCACAACCAATACTAGAAACCTTGTAAGATATACCTAAAATATCAGGCATAGCATTTCTTCTTCCTGTGCGACCTGTTGATAAAAACTCTTGGGCATTAATAGATGACTCAGGGGTGACTGGGGCATTGGTCACAGAGTTGGTGGGTCCAGGGACACTTTGGGAAGCCTCCATCACTGATAGCATTTTAAAGACTGAAATGAAAGTAGTAGTGAAATATGGAGACATTTGAATTTCCCAGACAGTCTGGTTAATGATAGCAAAACATGCAAAAAATACCTCATGGGATGGGAGTAAAATTGACAAACCATCTATGGCAATTGATGTTATCATGTCTAGGTATAATTAATGCTCTATATATTATAAGTAGGTAGGTATATAATTAATAACTAGTAGTAGATAAGGGATTTTAATAAGAGCTATTGTTTGATGTATCCCTACCCTACATCATAGCAATATCAATATGTTTTCCATAATCAACTATATAATGTCAATATGAGTATTTTGTTCTGTTTGATTTTGAAGGAATAAAAGCTTGTCATACAACAAAATAATTAAACATGCCTTATGTAGCAGATAATTCAGTGATTAATATGACAAAAGGATAGATAATTGAAGTAAACCTACATGCAATAGGTGCTCAAAAATTATTATGTAACCTGTTAGGGCTAGAAACCAATGCAAGCTTAAAATTAAGCATCTGTGTTAATGAGCACTTATTGGAATTTTCGTACCTGATTTTCTCGTTATTTTCTTATGTCTTTCATGTTTTATCTGCTTTTTATTTGTATTGGGACAGAGACCCATGGCAATGTCAGTAATGAGCAAAATATTTGGGAGATAATGTTCACTGACAAAGGTGACCTACCCAGTACATATGTAAAATGTATACTCCAGACTTGTGTTGTTAACGAAAAATATACGAATTTCACAATCACAATTTTCTTTTTACATCATACACATTTTTCAATGAATTCTAAACATTCCACTGCTTTCAACTTTGTTTTGTTGACATGGATTCAACATTTGACTTTGACACATTCAATTTGAATTTTCATGCTTCAAGTTGCAATCCTGATAATAATGGGTACGTATGGCTAATGACCACTTGGCCAGTGGTGAAAGTACGACATAGAGTTCCATCGACATTGAAGAGAGAAATACGAAGAAGAAGATTTGAAATTGAAATGACATATGACTAATTTACTACAAGAACACGTTGACGTATTTAAATTAAAGAAGTCAAATTTGGCTGATGTGTCGTTCGTCAATTTGTCGATTGTCGATGTGTGGCCAAGATTATACGTGCACATAAGAATTGAAACATGAATAAAATATTACAATTTCTAGCGTGCTTGGCATTTGTAAATGCTGCAGAAAGAATAAACAACCAACTAGTCATCAGAAATGTAGACCGATCCATCGACCTAGCTTCCCAGCTAGTAAAAATCACTGCAACCATCACCTTGGAAAATACCGGCAAAGATGCTGTACGTACTTTCCTTCTCGTACAAGAACCACACACCCTTGGAACCATCGCATACCTCTCCGTTAAAGATTCTTCCAAACAGGAGCTGAGAGTTACCCCTGTTAAAGTCGAGGGACATCCAGATGAGCTTTTCCACAATGTTGCACTGAGACTACCACTTGAGTCTGGGCGTACCACCACAGTTTCGCTAGAGGAAGTACGTACAAGAGCCCTGGAGCCCTATCCCAGCAGCATTACCCAGAAGGACAAGCAGCTGGTACGTTATTTTGGCAACCACTATCTATACACTCCATACTTGGTAACCAAACAGAAAACTGATGTAACCCTCTACTCCAGAAGCATTGAAAATTACACCAAACTGAAGCCAGTTAGTATTTCTGACAGTACTATTTCTTATGGACCTTATTCCAGTATTGAACCATTCACTGAAGATGAACTATCAGTGCACTATGAAAATAATGCACCCTTTCTGACAGTCACAAGGTTAGAAAGACTTATTGAAATTTCCCATTGGGGTAACATAGCAGTGGAAGAACATATTGAGATTCGCCATAATGGGGCTTTGCTGAAAGGTCCATTTTCAAGGTATGATTACCAAAGAGACACTAGTGGAACTCATCACAGCATAAAGGCCTATCATACCATCCTGCCTGCTTCTGCTCATAGCATCTACTACAGGGATAGTAATGGCAATATCTCCACATCAACTGTTAAGCCCAGAAAAGACTGGATTGAGCTGGAATTGAGACCTAGATTTCCATTGTTTGGAGGCTGGCAGAGCTCCTACACCCTTGGTTATAGTGTACCAAGCTATCAATACTTGTTCAAGGCCCCTTCTGGAGAAAATGTGCTGAACATGAGACTTCTGGACCATGTTTTTGATGACATGCATGTTGAAGAGCTAGAGACTTCAGTTGTGCTACCAGTTGGAGCCTCTGATATCCAAGTGAACCCTCCATATGCAGCTGAAAGATTGTCAGATGAACTGACACACAAATATTTGGACAACATTGGGCGTACAGTGGTGAAACTGAGGAAAACTAATCTTGTGGAGCAACATATTCAAGATTTGGAGATAACCTACAATTGGAAGCCTCACTTCCTCTTGCATGAGCCAGTTTTGCTGTCTATTGCTCTCTTTGTTATGTTTATATCAGTCATCATTTGGGTGAGGCTAGATTTTTCACTTGGTGTATCTGAACACAATAAGAGAGAATAAGTCTTGTTTTTATTTAATGTTCAACAACTTGTTTGATAATAAAAATATAAACCAAGTTATTAAAGTTTTTCATTCTTTTTCAACCAGTATCAAAAATACCACTCAGAAAAATGGACAAAGTTGATATGAGAATTTATATGAGATTCTAATAGGTGAAAATGTTGCATCTTGCATCTAGTACTTTGAACATGTTTGAACTCGCCATAGAAAATAAGCCTACGACACCTATCGGAGTGCTTGAAAGCTGTCAAAGCAGCAAGTTTACTTTGTTTTCATTGGTTCACATTTGTTTTTTGTTTATGCTTATTGGTCATATAATCAAAATATCAAACCGCTCAGAAGTGTTCGAGTTGCTGCCGTCAGGTGGGGTGACGTGTTATTTTCTACTACTTTTCTACCATAGATGAAAGTTTAGTGCAATTTAGGGTGTTTAATCTATGATTGAACTGATTTAAACAGTGTCACCTGTCAGCAGCAAGTCTTCTAGTACTATTACAGTATTCGCTCTTCACAACTTTGTATTCTGTAGGCGATACCAAAGAGGAGATTGGCGATACGCTTACGCCGGTAGGTTTTGTTACGAGGCGCAATACATTAGATTTTTGAATCCTGCTTCGATCTTTGCCCACTAGATGGCGATAATATGACTAGATCAACATGTTTCGTTGGATCATAGATTGTTGGATAATTGTTCAATATGTAGGATTTTTTAATATGAATCATTTGAATTCTTTTAAGGATTTATGTGGAATAAATTACAAAATATAGTATATCAACATAACATTTTATTTCATATAATATTGTCAGTCAACAAATAATAGAATTTTTAATCTAAAATAACAATATATAACATACCATTTAACATATTGTCAAAAATAACAGCACCTAACAAAGAACATCACAATTTCCCTAAGATTACTATTATACCGGGTGTCCAATCAGATATTCTCATACAGCCAATATCTCAGTTATGCCGCCTATTTGAAAAATAATTTAAAAAAATGAAACTTTTGTTAAACCCAAATGACTTTAGAGCCATTGTGCCAAAGTCAATTTCTGTCAAATTACCCCTGAAAAACCACCCCAACTTCATTTTTTCAAATTACACCCTATACATTTTTTTGTTGATATGTACAGTGCAACCAATTTTATCTTCACTTGATGATTTGACTGACGTCCAATTGCCAGAATACTTATTTGCATGCAGTAAACGTAAAAGCTATAAAAACCATAACAAAAGAAATGAGCTACACGCCTCTGATGCTGTTTACTTCGAATTTTGTAATTTTGGAACTATAACGTCTGTCACAAGCTCTCAAGTGTGATAGATCGTTGGAGTTGATTTATTGATTGCATTTCACCAATCAACAAAAAAATGTTTAGGGTGTAACTTGAAAAAAAGCAGTTGGGAGTGCGGGTTTTCAGGGGTAGTTTGACAGAAGTTTACTTTGACACAATGGCTTCGAAGTCATTTGGGTTAGACAAAATTGTTTTCCCAAGCAACATAACCGAGATATTAGCTGTATGAAAAGATCTGGGACACTTGGTATAGTGGGTCAAAAATAACAGATAAAACTGAAATGCATAATTATGAACATCCTGCACTACCCAAGAAAATATTGGGACTTCCCAAATCTGATCTTCCCTAGTAAAGGGGGAAGCCTGGTCATAGATAATAAAATATCACTAGCATTCAGTACAATTTCTGAATCCATTCCTACACACAAACAGTTGTGCACCTTTCTTAATTATTCGCTTGCTGCTGGGAATGTAAATCATGATTTTTTTGTCATCAGATCGTGCTTGACCCATTTTCAAATTAGCCATGTTTTTCCTCAGGTCATCTTCGTTTTCTGTAACTTTAGGCCCATATCCTTGATTGTGTGGCATAATCAAATTGCCAGAGATAAACCCATTCACGGTGAAAAACATCCTGTTGGTGTTCCTCAGTTTAGGGGTTATTTCTGTCTCTAATCTCTGACAGAATTTGGTGTAGCCGTTTGTTTGCAAAGGGTCATCTGCACATATTCCTGGTCTTTGGTCAAGGGGTTTGGGTGTAGAGCATCTAGATCTAGGTGTGCTTTGAATCTTTTGGCAACCGCTCAATTTTTTCACGTCATTGGTGAAAATGCGTTGGATATCTTGCATCTGGAATAAAGTAACAAACTAAAAATTATTTTGTGAAATAAGAAAAGATACCTTCAGAAAAACAAAGATTTTTGGTTACCGCCAATAATCATTCATACACATAGGCGCCCATCAAAATCTCACGGAGGGGCCAGAATTTGAAATAATGAATATCAATATAGTTATAGGTACTGTCAGAATATTATGTACCTCAACGACGAAATAATTCGAAAAAACAAAATTTATGAGTTTCAAAAAACTGAAGCCACCATCAACTTTAATTTACAAATATTGAAATAATAATCCTTATTATATAGAGCTGTTTCATTATCTGGAATCGATACAATCTATAAATTTTTCAGCAGGAAATGGAATATTTGTTTATTCGGTAGAAGTTATGTTACAGAGAGTGACACAAAAACCAAGATTTAGTTACATTCAGTACCGGCAGTGCCTATATATACCTATGTCAATTATTATATTTGATTCGAAAGGATTCTGAAAATCAAAAGTTTTTGAATAAACAGGAATTTCAAAGCGGTGTGTAATCTATATACTATTGCATGCATACTCAAGTTTGAAACAATGTAAGAGTAAGGGAAAATTACTTACAATTAGAGTCTCTCTTTTGGATTCCTTCATATATTTAGCATCCATACTTGAAACTATTATTTCAACGAAAACTCGAGAACTCAACACTATTTACTTTCGATTTCACAGGTTTGAGTTTAGCTTGCAATTGACTGATTTTTGGTAAGTACGCATATTTTATATCATACCTGATTATAGAATAATAACCCTCTAAATAAAGAAGACAATCTGTCCATCTCTGGGTGAGAGGATTAAAAGGGCTGGTCTTATTTCGAGAAGGCCGAGAAGGGATAGGTAATAAATAAGGATCTATCATCATGAAATAAAATAGGTACCTAGGTATGTGTTTTAGGTAAATACACAATATTTAGGTATAGGTAATAATAATAAATGAATGAATATTTTGCAACTCTAATTATTGATTATTTGAATCAGTTTTTATTCCAATTTAAGTAGATTCCGAAATATTTTGTAATCGATTTTTGCCCATTTGGTATACCTTCATCATCTAGTCTAGAGGTATATAGGGGCGTTTTACTTCAAGTGGTAACAATTCTACAATATCAAAACGGACCGGCCGATTTTCGAATTTCAATTTTTTTTTTTCAAAAGATAGTAGGTAGGTACTCCGAGGGCTCCTGTTATGTATAATTTTGCCTTTTCCATATAGCTTCCTACGATAAAAAAAATAGATCACGAACAAGATGGGAAAACAAATGCCTCATAAATCCAATATCGTAACTCATAAAAGGTGTTTGTAAAACAATAAAATCCCCTGTCTGAACAGTACCAACTGAATTACTTCCGAATATTTTGTTTGTCAATGATTTTTCAACTTGCTTAACTCATTAGTATATATATTGTATATATGCTTTCGTAATTTTTGTGGTCTTATCTATGGATGAGAATTAAATTAAAAATGATACATACCAAGATGTAGCGCTCTCGTACTAAATAGATTCTTCTTTCGAAAAATGATTGTTCACCTTGTTTCTGTCTGCCTAAAGTACATAAAAGAAGATGAAAGGACCCCGCACATTTAGTACGTAAAATGGCTTTCGGCTAAATTTTCTGAAAATTTGATATGTTTAAGACATTATCGTCCTTATCACACAGTCCAATTGACAGATCGATCCTATGACCAGTTTTCGAGCTACAGGGTGTCAAACATTAGATATTGGCTGTTTAGAATATTTTGCATCAATTTGAATTATGTGCTCTAAGTCGTGATTATTCTTCAGTAGGAATGAACTCTTCAAGTCTAATATCTACCTCATGAATCCCTCTATTCGGTTAGAGGATAATATCACATACAGAGTATTGCATTCCATCATGACAAGGTAATATTCTTGGGAAAAGACAAATATTGAAAACATCAGAATTTTGATTTTTACTCAATCACTGAAAACTTGAAAACAAACGGCTAGAATCGTCCAATTATGTGACACAGTATGGGTCTTGATCATAATCATGAGGATTCATATGATTACCTCTGATACCATGTTCGGTTGGCCATATATAGGGTGATTTGAAAGCTTATAGAATTGATGTAACTCAGGTACAAAATGAGATACATTTCTATAATATATGAAGTGGAAAATGAAATGTCTCATGAAATAACCCACCCCCACCAAGCCCCTGATGAGTCACAACCACCCCAACGCATATCATTTCAATAGTAGCCCCTACTTATTGTGATACCTCATTGAATAGCTTGGCGAAAATACATTTCAGTGGTATTATTCATATCTCGAACTGGGTGAACTAATAAAAAATATTCATCACCTATATCATTCTGCTGGGGTGACGTATTAGTTATGTAACTTTTTGTAGTATGGGAAAAAATCGTTATTATCGAGCATTATATAAATAACCATAAAAGTGAAATTGCTTATGTAAACAGTTGGCTAGTGAAGCGAGAGAAAACTAAAATCTACAGAATGTTCTAGTAACCTAACCTAACATAACCTAACCTGAGCTGGTCAGACGGTATATAAGGACACATCTCCATTCAATCCAGCAGAACATCTCCAAGATAGAAGTTGTAAAACTGTGACATGTCCGCTATGTTTGAATTATCAAGAGAATTTGTATTTTGATGATTGTCAAAAGCTGCTGATAGATATTTTTCGCATTGTGGCTCACATTCTGGCGAGATGGTCGTATTGAGACAAGTTGTCAGATACCATGATATGACATCAAGCATTGCTATAGATGAACTGATAGGCACAAGCCATGAATGATAGTACATAATGGGTCGCACTGTTGATGGCGATTTCCGAAAATATTGTTGCTTGGGTCTTCGCTGTAATTCAGCAG